GCAGATTTAGTGATGGCCTAGTGGTTAAAAGGCCCGCCTCTCATGCATGAGGGCGCGAATTCGATCCTGGCAAGTACCAATGTGATCTTTTCGAGTCATATGTACTTTTTAAGAGTATTTACTGACTGACACACGGTGAAGGAAAACATTCCACAATTATAAGTTTGAATTCACCAACCCGTCTTGAGCAAGCGGGATGATTAATGCTCAAACCTTCTCCATGTAAGAAGAAGCCTTTGCTCAGAAGTTGGCTCTGATAGGCTGATGACGACCCTATAATTATCTATAGTAATGCAACGAAATGTTTTTAACAGAAACTATCGTGAACATTTGAAAACACTCTCATTTACATATTCATTAGATGAACCGACCGGTCAACAAACAATAGTTTCTTTAACATACATAAGCATTATGCACATAATTATTTATATTATGCAGATATATGAAAAAAGAATTAAGTTGAAATTCATAATCAAAAGTTGAAATATCTACTTTATAACAAATTTCTTATACGCTTACCACAAGTTCGTCGTCACTACATACGTAGCGTTAATAGTTTTTCATACATAAATCTTATTACATTATAGAAATAACGTAGAATAAAAAGAGAAACATAAAGATTATTCCCAAAGAGGGTTGATGTCAGGCAGGCGGCCGGTTGTAAAACCAATTAGCCAAAATTATTCACAACATGTAAGGCAGACCCTGGCTAAAGCTGGGAAATTGCCATTTTGAAGTAGAAAGAGAAACAGAAAATTTCCTATATATTTGTGATGCGCATTGTGTTAATAAAGCTTACGGTTCATTGGGAAATCAACGTCCCGAAGACCATACTATCAAGGTCAATAAATATTACGAGCTCACTAACGAACTAACTAGAAATAGGTTCGTCGTGGATTTTGTACGCGGTAGAAGTGGGAGCGAGAGGTATATCAGCTAAATCTATCAATTTTTTTTAATCTAAAACCTACTTAAAGACTTCGGCCGTTCCAGAAGTAACATCAATTCATTCTTAGAACGTATTTTTAAACCCTAGTAGGTTCATTTAAAAATGCTTGGGTAGAGAGAGGAGCTTGGACAGTGGAGGTGAGCGCTTAACGCGCGTTAGATATTGGCCCCTTAAACCTACAGCTGAGATGCATTTAAATTTAAAGCACTTTTTTATACTACGGATTCATTCACACTGTAATCGTAGAATAATTTGCCAATGTTAAATACATGCGCTTAAATTATATTATATCAGAGCGTCCTCAAAACATTGAATATTATGGAAGTTTTTCGAACTGTTAAGATTACTTGGTACGCCTTGGTTCCTTTTTAAACACTCTTTTTCTGGAACTACCTTCCGAAATTTTACTCTTTCTAGCATTTACCTAGTAACGCTGAATACTTATTCTTTTCAGCCTGACGAATTTCTTGCTTGAACTATGTTACCTTCATCAGTAGGTAGGTTAATGGGAATATAGTTTTCCAACTTCTAAATCACTATATTGGTTGTATGTTGTGTCCGCAAACAGAAATTGGCTCCAAGATAAGCTATACAAAGTATCAAAAGCATCAGTTATATGTATATATACATTGAAATCAAACTTACAATGTCTCTACTGAACAAATGTCATTTGCACATTGGCATATACATAGGAGACATCGACATATTATCGTCTGTCATAATCTGCTGACTTGATAACATTTATACAGACTTAGCCAGACCGTGGTCAGTCTTCAATGTGGGTGAGACTTTTAGTGTATTTTTACACAACTTTCTTTTATATATACACTAACTTCCCGCCCGCAGCTTCGCCCGCGTGGAGTTCGGTTATATCGCGTTTCCAAGAGAACCTTTCAAAAGTCTGGGATAAAAACTATCCTATGTTCTTTGTCAAGGTCAACTCTATGTCTGTACCAAATTTCATTAAAATCAGTTCAGTGGTTTAGGCGTGAAAACGTAACAGACAGACAGATAGTTACTTTCGCATTTCTATTAGTAGGGATTGATAATCTCGGCATGTAAAGGGTGAAATATGGATTTTTGTCAAATCAAAAGCTTCTCATCATATTTTATTTGATTGAAAGTAAATTATAGTGCAAACCGGTTTTGATAAAGTACAATTTGACCGAATGAAATCTCATACAATATGAAAATTTACCTTATTTTCACATCATGTTATAAATAGCAGTAGTCAATATTATGAAGGATATAAGTTAAACGAGGCTTTGAAATTATTACTTAGAATCTGCTAATAGAGAATTGATCTTTGGATTCTGCTAAGTATACAAAACAATTAAATTATTTGTGCATATTATTTCCAGGCAATATTATTTTATTTTTCCCTCAAAAGCTATCAATGGATATATTAAATGTATTATTTCAATGAAAGTCATATATTTTGTACTTATTTTATTTGAAATGGCCACTTCTGTAAAAAATATATAAACAGAATGCATCTAGCGTTTAACATTCTCTTATAACTATCTATTGTTATACCAAAATATAAACGGACAAACAGTTTTCTATTTCATATGGAAAATTTTAAGTACACTAGCAGTATTATAGTTAAAAGAAATTGACATGGAAAAAAATAATGAAATGTGCCTTACATACATTATGGTAATAAACGGCTTTGGTTTAAAAAAATATATTACTCCATAGTATCATATATATTCGGTAATTATCACAATTTTGATTAAATGAAACTTGATTAAACGGAATGATCATCATTCACTTACAACTATGATTTTGAATGTACCGAAACTAATATATCCCCATATCACAAAAATATATCACAAATTCAATTATTTTTTTTAATACACAACCAAAATATTTAAAAAACATTCAGAATACCTAATAAACATATACATATATATATTTATATATATGTATATGTATATATATATCTTAATTGGGATATACGACCAGCACAAAATTTACAATGGATAAAATAGGTAACCGCTAGCGTTTACTACTTGTTCTACATAAAAAAATGTACTTCACATACATTCTATTATATATTTACTTTAAAAAATATCTGTACTTACATTAAATACATTATTATGTGTTATAAAATTAAAGAGCACCAACATAACAGAATAAAATATAAAAAAAAAGAAAATTATTTCATAATTATGAAGAAGATATTGTGCTTTTTTTGGCAAGACCGACAGATGAAATGGAACAATACTCCTAAACTATATTTATCATCAATTTTTCATGTAAATTCGATAAAATATCACTGTTTATATACTTCTTGTCCAAAACCACACAGTCGCATACGTCGAATATACATGATGGTAACTTTATATAAATAAAATCAAAAATAAAATATAATAATAATAAAAAAATCTTAATATTAAAATAACTGTTGTAAAAAAAATATAACAATTTGTAATCACACTTCAACATCGATCTGACAGCAAGATTTTTTGATTTTAAATATAATACGAAAAAAAGATAGCAGCCAAACACATTAATTAATTTTATTAAGAAAATTTCTTGTACAACGTAGTTAAATAAATATACAACTTAGAAATTTTCAATTACGTTTTTTATTCGACCAAATATCTAAACATTCCTTGTTTTAAACCCAAGACTCGTATTAAAATACCAAGCTTCAAAACTACGAAAACTCCACATGAGAAAACAAGAAAATTAATTTTATCCATATAAATATTATATGAAATAATAGCCACAAAATCTAATTTAATTAAATAATTTATATTATTTACACAATAAAACCATTAACGTAAAATAAAAACAACTATCTTGCTGTCAGCTGACAAATGTCAAAGCTGCCGCCAAAAGGAAAGAGCACAGATAAAAAAAAAACAATATTGGAATGCAGATAAAATATTTACAGAATAAACAAATTAATATAAAGCGAGAGATTTTCGTCGTATAAAATATTATTCTTAATTTAGCTTTGGAATGTCCTCTCATCACTGTATGATCCTACTAAAATCCTAGAACAAATTAAAACACATTTTATTAGTCTAAAGACTTAAATATATAAAAAGATATTTCCATAGTAAAATTCTACAATCTTTTATACTAATATATACAGGATGACTGGTGAATTACTATCAATATTTAAGGAGAATACTCGGTACATGATTCTCATTCGAATTATGTAAAAAAAATAGGTACTTAATTTTTGACCAAATTTCTGTATAAATAAATAAAGTGTGGACACGTTCCAAGTCTTCCAAGTGTGGACGCGTGCGGCGGCGTGCTGATACAACACCACGCCGCCGCACGCGTATGTGTGAGTGTGTGTGTATACCTAATCTGTAGGGTGTGCACACGATCCGTAATTAATTACATAACTTTTGGTTAACTTTACTTAGAAGTTTATTAATATTTATGTTATATTAATTTTTATTTTGTCATATATGATCGTCAAATATCACGTCCTCAAATATTGATAGTAATTCACCAGTCACCCTGTATATATATTCTATTATAAGTCTATGAAATCTTTAAATTACTTTTCCCATACATTTTCATTCCTTACCTCACACCTATGAAGTATTGGCGTGGAATTGTAATGTGTGCTGTCACTATAAAAAAATGGCCGCTTCATTTGATTTTGCCCTGAAAATGTCAAAATTATTGTCAAAATAATCACATATAGACATAATATAATAATAATGAATATTTATTTCAGACATAACATCCATATCAATTAAAACAAACAAATAAATACTAAATCTTACTAAATAAATACTAATTCACTGGATAATATAATATGTTTATTTTGGTTTGCCTTCTGTATAGTTATAATTTATATAATTTTTATGTTACTTATAGACAAAACTCATCACAATTATCAAATATGCTAAATTTCTCGTAGTAAAAGTATTTTCTTATCTATAGATTATGCAAAACCCTTTTAGTAGTACCCGGAATAGTAATTCAACTTTAAACTTATATAACACAATCGAAAACCCATTAAAAATTTTAAAATATGTAAAGTACAGTCTTATAAAGTGTATCTGACACTCACATAGTTGTGTGTGAGCCGCTAAAGCATTCTGTTTTGCAATCAGTAGCTCCGGTCCGGGCCGCGCTAATGATTGATAGTAGGCTGAAAAATAATATTTAAAATAAAAATAATATATAATTGTTATAAATATAAAAATAATATAAAATATTACTTGAACTTATAATATATCAACATGCAACCTGCAACTAATTTCACGAAGTCGCTGTATGTATGAATGCATTATAAAAATTAACTCTCAACATTTTTCTATCACACCAAAAGAAGTATAACTTCAAAAATACTTGTTGATAATTTAACCTAATTATTTCATATATATAGGAAAGGAAGACGCGTGCTAAAGTAGTATAAAATTCAATGTTAATAATCAATCCCTACTAATATTACAAATGTGAAAGTAACTCTGTCTGTCTGTTACGCTTTCACGCTTAAACCACTGAACTGGTTTTAATGAAATTTGGTACAGACATAGAGTTGACCTTGAGAAAGAACATAGAATAGTTTTTATCCCAGACTTTTGAAAGGTTCTCTTGGAAACGCGATATAACCGAACTCGACGCGGGCGAAGCTGCGGGCGGAAAGCTAGTATTTAATAATAAATAAAAGCGATGTCTATTGCGTTTATAGAAATGCTATTTATTATTCTAATATTGTTTTAGTTAATATTAAATATAAATTCTCGTTTCACAATTTTCGTTTCCATATTCCTCCGAAACTTGACCGATTTTCATGAAATTTTGTGAGCATATTGAGTAGCTCTGACAATCGGCCCTCTATTTTTTCATACCCCTAAATGATAAGGGTTGTCCACAATTAACATTTTTCTTTAATTTCTAGACATTTTTTTATCATCCCGTTAAAAATATATACAGCCCTAAATTTTGACCCTTTTATCACGTATCCCTATTTTTTTATATGTCAGAACGTTTGCCGGGTCAGCTAGTGAGTTAAAAGTATGTTAGTATATAATATTTATATATTACTTGTCGCATTCGTGGCGCCATCTGTCGTGAAGTACGGACTCGTCTGAGGTTGCATAACATTCTCGCAAGCTGGAAAATAAAAAGATTACTAAGTATTATTGTAATAATGTTGGATATATAGAAAATTTTGAGTTTTTTCTTATTTCCTATATACATACATATTTGGCCTTTTGTGTATGTTTTTTTTTTCTATTATGTTTTTTTCTGTCTTGTTTTTGTGCAATAAAGGATATATATATACATATATACTATATACAAGCAAAAAGAAATATTTAAAATATATAGAAATCAAAATAAAGATAGTATGAGCTTTTTTATCACATGTAATATGTAATGTATAAATCTTTATGTTGGTACTTAGTGTCATGTATATTTTTATCGTAATGTTGGTACCTCCTGATACTTCCGGTTCCTGTTTCACGGTCGTCACTTGATCAATTATACTCTGTTGTTCTCTTTGCTCGTAAATTGTATGATCTGTGGACATTTTATAGATATTAATGTTAGTATATGCATAATCTTTAAAGTGATTTAAACTAGGAATAACTTATATAATGTTAAAAAATTTATATGTGTTACAAGTCCAATGAGACAAGATAAATATTATAAACAAACTGAGCTACAGTAATTTGACTAGTATTATTATTTGACACTAGAAGACCTGGCGAACTTCGTATCGCCCTATAATCAAGAAATATCTATTACGTTTTTTTATTTATATTTTTGGAGTTTACCTGTAAGCCATAAATCTCTGTGTTTTGAAGTGCGACAGAATGATTGAAATATTACAGCCACGGGCAAAATTATTAGGCACCCTACAGTAAGACAAGTTTTAGGGTGTTTTAGCATAGGGAGTGTAAATAAAACTGCATTTATGATTACAATGGTTTATTTTAAGAAAATAATTAATATTTTGTAGGTCCACCTTTTGACTTAATAACCGCAGCCACTCTTTTTGGCATTGACTCTACCAGCCTGAAACATTCTTCTCTTGATATATTTTTCCATTCCTGCTGTAACGCGGCCAATAGAGCTTGTTTATTGCTAATCGAGTGCCTGTGGATATTTTTCTTTAAAATGGACCAAATATGCTCAAACGGATTGAGGTCTGGTGATTGTGGTGGCCAGTCCAAAAGATCAATATGGTTCTCAGCAAACCACTTCATGGTATGCGCCGACTTGTGGCAAGTGGCGTTGTCTTGCTGAAATTTCAGGCCATCGGTGTTTGTATCACCGAAAATTTGCGTTATCGACGTTGCTAGTGCTGTTTCCAGAACTTCAGTGTATTTAACACTATTCATTCGTCCCTCACACAACACCATTTCGCCCACTCCGTCGGCAGCCATGCAGCCCCAGATCATTATTGAGCCTCCACCATGCTTAACAGTGGGAACCACACATTCTGGGTTGTATTCTTCTCCAACCCTTCGCCTAACATAAGTCACACCGGGTGTTCCAAACACCTATGCCAAACGAAAAAAACACATTTATTTTCAAAGTTATTATTTTTCTTGCAGTACGTTATTTTAAAAACATTTATGTGTTTTAATATTGTACATAAAATAAATAACAATACCTCAAAGTTAGATTCGTCTGACCACAGTATGTTGGACCAATCTTCCACTGACCAATCTCTATGTTTGAGTGCCCACTCCAACCGATTTTTCTTATTGTGTTCTGACAGCCACGGCTTCTTCCTTGCTTTACATCCTTTTAATCCAGCTTTAAGAAGTCTTCTTCTCACAGTATAAACACTCACTGAGCTGCCTTTTGCCTCAGATAATGCTGCAGCGAGCTCTAAAGCAGTTTTTTTCCTGTTTTGTAGAGACTGCCTAATCAACAATCGATCTTCCCGTTCAGTAGTAACTTTTCTTCTGCCTGTTCTTGGTCTATTTTCATGGGTGCCAGTCTCTTTGAAGCGATTTATAGCATATTGTACTGCACATCGCGAGCACTTCACTTCTCGGGCTATTTTAACCTGAGACATGCCTTGTTCATATAAAATCTTAATTCTTAGACGCTGTTCAGCACTAAGTTCAGATTTTTTTCGGCATGATTAACACGTTAAATGTTAGTCTTTAGAATTGTGATAGGAATAGTTGCGTAGAAGACGTGTATGTTCACTGCAAGCACTGATAACACACTATAACCCGAAACGCAAAAAAAGCAAATTCGAAGAAACACCGCTTAGGAGCACACCTGGATGTCATAAATATTTTCTTTTATCTTAATTTAGTTAAAAATTGCCGCTAATACAATAGCTAAACCATAAAACACACATTTGACCGCAATATAATGAGATAGTGACTAACAATAGGGGTGCCTAATACTTTTGCACGCAGCTGTAGTTAGTTGTCAAATCTAATGTCAAAAAAAACGTTTGTATGGGAAATAGAAAAGGGCTGTTTTTATGGTTTTCCCAGTAAGGAATTAATTTTTTTCAGCTTTTATACCTTCCCTGAACCTCCACGAACATTTCAAGACTAAGATAAGATAAATCCGTTCAGCTGATCTCGAGTTTTAGCGAGACTAAGGAACAGCAATCCATTTTTATATATATAGAAGATAAGATTCAATTTAATAAAAACATAATGCATTGTATATATAAAAACTTACCGATCTGTTCCTTATTTCTTTCATACAAGAATTTCTCTTCCTCGTTCGTGAAATCTATTTCTTGCTTTATGTGATCTTCGTTGAAGAAGTTCTGGTTTTCGTTCAATCTGTGCTGTTCTTGCAGCATTTGTAGATTATGCTGCTGATTCCTCAATATCTCTACGCTGTCCGTATAATTGTTCTGATATATTAGATCACTGTAATCCTTTTCTCTGAAACCGTTGTATACTTCTGGTAACTTTGTGTAATTTTCGATTTGATTGTGATTTTTTCTCTGTAATGCGTATTTTTCTGCTTCCTTGTTGTACTCTTCGTTTGTTTGTGGTATGAAATCTTCGTTTTGTTTTGAGAAATCTTTTGGCATGTCGTAGTCTATGTCGAAATTTATTTCCATAGAGTTTTGCTCGTCTTCTGACAGTATTGGGTCCGTCTGCATAGTCGCGTCTTGCTTTCTTGGTTTTGGTAAATCGGTAGCAAGATTACACATCAAACGGTAGGCTAGCTGGAATTATAGAAAATTATTATGAGCTATTAATGTATGTAAGATAAAATATAAAACTAAATATATTCATCATCATCATCCTGCTACTGAGCAAAGGCTTATTCTCATATAGAGAAGGTTAGAGCATTAAAGGACGCGTGCGGCGGCGTGCTGATACAACACCAAGCCAACACCAAGCCACCACCACGCGTGTGTGTGAGTGTGTGTGTATACCTAATCTGTAAGGTGTTCACACGATGCGTAATTAATTACATAACTTTTGGTTAACTTTACATAGAAGTTTATTAATATTTATGTTATATTAATTTTTATTTTGTCAGATATGATCGTCAAATATCACGTCCTCAAGTATCGATAGTAATTCACCAGTCACCCTGTATATATATATATGTCTCTCTGAACGAAATGCATCCTACTAATATTATAATTGCGAAAGTTTGTGCGTGTGTGTGTATGTTTGTTACTTCTTCACGCTCAATCGGCTGAACGGATTTTGATGAAATTTTGTAAACAGGAAGCTGACGTCCAGGAACAACACATAGGCTACTTTACATCCCGGAAATCCGCGGGGAACGCCGCGGGGCGCAGCTAGTATTACATAATATCATTACTTACAGTTGATTCGGCTTCTTCCTGCTTGACGTCGCTTGTTAAATGGGGTTGTGTTTGTGCCATGCTTGTGAATTTCTCCTCTTTAACACTGAAATCACATAATTAAACAGAAAATTGTTATTCTAATATATGATTCAATATATAAGTTTATTGGCAGTTATAATATAGATAACAATGTTTTAGACAAAGGAATATACAGTTGTTTTATTGTTTATATTATTCACATGACCATATTGATAGCATGATCATACTGTTAACCTGATCATGTCCACTTGATCAAACTGTTAACCTAACCATACTGTCAGTGCCGGCGTTAAGGGGGGCTTAACGGCCCAGGGCGCCAAATTTGGGGGGGCGATTAGTGGAGGTAGGATACTTATAAATGAAAAAAAAAATAGGAGCTACATAACTTTCTACGTCCACGTCGTTAGCTCTGGGTCACGCTAAAGGAAAGATGGAAGGTGGAATATAGAATTCTTAATACACGTTCAGTGTTCAGATTGGTTCAGAAAAAAATCCATACTCGATTTTGATTTCTTCAAGTGGGCGCTAAGACATTCTTGCCCAGGGTGTCAGTCCCTCTAACGCAGGCACTGCATACTGTAAACCTGATCATATTGTCCACCTGATCATTCTGTCCACGTGATCATAGTGTCCACGTGATCATAGTGTCCACGTGATCATAATGTCCACGTGATCATATAATTTATGTGATCATTTCACTTACCCGACCTCCTCTTTCTTGCAATCCTTATATTTGACTGTCCTACTCTTCCTTATGACCATGACGGTGCCATCAGGGTTAAGTTTCGGCAGATTCTGGGTGGGTATGGCGTCTTTGGACAATGTTTTCCATTGACCTGAAATAGAAACATGTCATTTTTAGCCAGGCTTGTTTATTATTTCAGAACATTGGTTTATAATGACCCAAATTAATAAGGAAAGTAATTTTTTAATTAACATGAATATAACAAAATAAAGGCTTGTATTTCATAGTATTTTTTATATAATTATCAAATCAAATAAAATAAAGTGGACGCTATTAGTTAAATTGATAATGTGCTTTGAAAAATTGTTGAACTTATTCTCATACTATTAGTATTTAGGTTAACTATAACAAATACTAAGGCGTCAATTCAATTCTAGTCATGATTTGTCAATGATTCAATATTTTTGAAGATTTTAAATGAGAAAAATAAAACAATGAGCAAAGCAACTAATTGTTGGTGTAGGTTATTTAAATATATATATTAACTTTATTATTAAATAAAGGAGATTTGGTGAAATTAAAATACACTTGTAGTAGCACAGAATCATAAGAATTTATATTTATTGAGCTGTCATAGACTATAGATTTACATCCAAAGGAAAAATTTAATATTTAATTTAACAGTATATTTACTCAATTCTGATAAATTCATCAATATTTAGTGTTGGTCATAATTGTAATTATAAATATTGTTATGGCGCCGGCTTTGAAATAAACGTAGTATACGAAGTTACTGACAGCTTACGTTATAAGCAATAACTTGATTCAAATTTATTTAATAGCAAATATATATTTTTACTAGTTTTTTCCAGCGACTTCGTCCGCGTTAGTTTGGTCAAGAGTAATATATGTATAGCTGACCAGGCGAACTCTATTCCATCTTAAGAGACCATAAATAATCAAGTTTTTCCTGTTTCAATCAAACAGAATGATTGACATATTAGTTAGTTGTCAAATCTAATGTCAAAAAAAACCGTTTGTATGGGAAATAGAAAAGAGCTGTTTTTAGGGTTTTCCCGGCAATTATTCCATTTTTCTCACCTTTTAAACCTTCCCTGGACTTCCAGGAGTATTTCAAGACTAAAATTAGCCAAATCGGTTCAGCCGTTCTCGAGTTTTAGCGAGACTAAGGAACAGCAATCCATTTTGATATATATTTTTATAATAATAGCTATCTCGTGCGGAATAAGTCGCGGGCACTAACTAGGTATTAATAGAAAATATCTTCAAGTTCAAGGTCGCCATTATTGAATCATCATGACAGTGCATACTTAGTTACTGACGGAAACTATCAGACTGATAGTATTTAGTTTGAATACTCATATACAGGGTGCCTGGTGAATTACTATCAATATTTAAGGAGAATACTCGGTACATGATTCTCATTCGAATTATGTAAAAAAAATAGGTACTTAATTTTTGACAAAATTTCCCTATAAATAAATAAAGTGTTGACACGTTCCAAGTGTTCCAAGTGTGGAAGCGTGCGGCGGCGTGCTGATACAACACCACGTCACGACACGCGTATGTGTGAGTGTCAGTGTATACCTAATCTGTAGGGTGTTCATACGATGCGTAATTAATTACACAACTTTTGGTTAACTTTACTTAGAAGTTTATTAATATTTATGTTATATTAATTTTTATTTTGTCATATATGATCGTCAAATATCACGTCCTCAAATATGGATAGTAATTCACCAGTCACCCTTTATATATATGTCAGTCAGTGGTGGCCTAGTGGTTAAAGGGCTCGCCTCTCGTTACCGACGGCGCGGGTTCGATCCTGGCCCGGGCAAGTACCAATGTGATTTTTCCGAGTCATATGTACTTTCTAAGACTATTTAGACATCACTGATTAATGTTGATTCCCCAAAAGAGGGTTGATGTCAGGCAGGCGGCCGGTCGTTAAAACAAATAGCCTAAACTATACACAACATGTAAGGCAGACCCTGGCTGTAGCTGGGAAATTGCCAGGTAGAAGAAGACTCATATATATATATATCAAAGGCGGCAAACAAGCAGACGGTCTACTTAATGGAAGGTAGTCACCGTCTGCCATGGAAATATGTAATACTAGCTGCGTCCCGCGGTGTTACCCGCGGATTTCCGGGATGTAAAGTAGCCTATGTGTTATTCTTGGACGTCAGCTTTATGTATACAAAATTTCATCAAAATCGGTTCAGACGTTTAAGCGTGAAGAAGTAACAAACTTTCGCAATTATAATATTATGTATATGTAATATAAGGGTTGTTGCAAATGCGTTGACAACCTTGTTTGTGGGAAAGAGAGAGGGAATAGGGAAAGTGCGACTGGCTCTCTCACTCATCGGACGAAAAGCAGCCATTAAAGACTACTTCACGCTGATCTTCTGTGAGAGGGTGGTACTTCCCCGGTCGAGACAGCACATGTTCGAGCTGTAGTTACTAGTTACCTTACCACAGCTAGACTCTACAATCTTTATATTATCTTCTTCTATCTGGCAATTTCCCAGCTATAGCCAGGGTCTGCCTTACATGTGGTGAATAGTTTTGGCTAATTGCTTTTATGACCGGCCGCATGCCTGACATCAACCCTCTTTGGGAATGCATTAATCAGTGATGTCTAAATACTCTTAGAAAGTACATATGACTGAGAAAAATCACATTGGTACTTGCCCGGGCCAGGATCGAACCCGCGCCCTCGGCAACGAGAGGCGAACCTTTTTTGACCACTAACCACAACCTTTATATTATAATTATATATATAATATAATGTATATAAATATATATAATACATAACAATATAAACATAGTGTATTAATGATGTAAACATAAGGTTATTTCCCCATTCAATAATGTATAATTGATTTAATATAACAATTTTCCTTCCCATCACTTACAACAACTATTAAAAACGTTTGCATCTTTTTCCCTATATTTAATATTGCAGAATATTATTATCATATTATTATATAGTAGGAAAAAAATTAAACTGATTTGGACCAAACTATTTCAATACATAGATAATTTAAAAGATTTATATATTGAATACATTTCCGTCAGTGTGTTTGTTTAATATATATAAATAATCATATTATGAAAATAAAATATAATAAAATTCAAGATTGCAACAATATGTAACTTCAGATACAATTTATAAATAAAATAAATAACTATACCTCCATTCTTAAAGTCGGTTAAATATATATTCTACAAAATATGTTGCAACAAGTCACTAAATTGATATATGTATAACAAATTGAAAATATTATTTTTCCTTATATTAAACAAGTTAAATATCAATCAATTTTTTTTCTGTTACTATGATTAAGATCACTTTTAAACTTCATCAAATTATGCTCAGTATATTTCAATACTAATACCATACTTAAACTTTGATTAGGTCTCTTAATTACGCTTTTTTAAAGAGAAGCTTAAACCTTAAACCTACACCTAGGTCGCAAATCCCATGTACTGTTGATATTCCATTTGTATAACAAATTATTTAATTCTCTTTTCCTCATTACTGCTACACAATTATTTTTTATTAAAATCATACCAATAAAAGCTTATTAAAAATATATATTGTAGAAAATTACACTTTTTAGTGACAATAAAAAAGTAAATTGGATTTTTTTGCAAATGAATTAATTAAAATTACACATTGCACTGCTGGATTGCTGCAATCACATTCCATTAGGAGTTTCCGAGTTAATATGGAACAAACATTCAACATCCAGAGAACTATGTATATATATATATATATATATATATATATATATATATATATATCTTACAAAATTATTATTTATATGTGACCTTTATGAAGAATTTATATATTTTTGCATATAACTATAACTGATATATATATATATATATATATATATATATATATATATATATATATATATATATATATATATATATATAATATATGTATATATATAATATTTATGTACAATGAAAGGGAAAAACCGCACCGTAAAATAATCAACATTTCTGAATGAATTATTTAAAATAGTCACTACATCCAAAGCAATATTTCCTCAAACACTATGACCTACATGTGACATTACTTAACATTTTTCACTAACTTAGCACTAGAAAATCTTATTGGAATTTTATGTTAACAAAAAACTTTAATACTAAGGCTTTTCGAAGATAAATAAAGTTTGTTGTATTCTTATAATGTACATTTTAAGCTTGACGTAAAATAATTGAAGGTAGAACATCGAAACAGTCATTAAATTATAAACGCGAGGTTCTACAAACTAAATTCGTATTAAGTTCAACGATATTAAAAAAGGACTTCTCAATGTCAAATGTCCAAGAGGGCATTGCTTTAAATGAGTTTCTGATTTCCGGCGTTCAGTATACATGTAGTTTAAACATATTTGATTTGAAATAACATTTAATACACATGACATCGTGGTTTGACGTTGAGAAGATACGTAAAAACATAACATCATTTTATGAGTCATAGTGAAAACTTATTATATATGATACAACAAGCAAAACATGGAAAAACCCAGGTACCTTTATTCTTACCCATTGTTGTTATGTTGTAGTCTGTCGGTGTGAAGTGGAGACTGCAAACTTTGGAGTACTTCGTGACTGGTTTTCCGCGTTTGAGTATAGTATTCCACTTGAGTGCCATGTCGTTATCTCGAGGGAAACGATGGAACTTAACGTTTTTAGTCTTGCCGGCGAGTGAGGTGCACTGTGGCACCGTACAATAATAACCCATCTTAAACAACACAAGCTTTGTTGTTGTTTTAAATCGAGGCGGTAAGTCCGAACTAAGTTAACATGAGACCAGGCGATCTAACCGCAGTGTGCTGTCGAAACTGATTATTAATTATAAAACGTTATCACACTTGCAAAAATTAAAATCATCACACACCACACACCGCAGCCTTGAAATATTTGACATGTATTTGCCTTTTTTTCCCTTCCCCACTTCACAGTTTTTCTGAAAAATGGCCACTTATAAACATAGACAATAACAAAAATATATATAGATTACATAAAACATTACATAATCTGTATAGAAAAAACTTTAAAAATATTATTATTTAAATGAATACTACACAATTTTTATTATTCATAATTTTATGAAGACTATTAAATTGGCATATATTTCGTATCATCTTAATTTATTTCGCTGGTTCATCGACATGATTTTAAAATTTAGAATTATCAGAGACAACCACCTACCAAATCTAAATTTCTGTATAGTCTATGATTTTGTTTTATTTTCATGCAGTCAATCATGTCTGTCGTTTGTTGTTTATGCGCAAACTTTTGTTTGTTTTTGTGGTAGGCGTCTTGTTATAGGCTATCGAAATTAGTTTTTAAGATATGTAATTAAGTAATTTATCAATCATGCCTTACTATTGTACGGTACCGCGTTGCACATCTATGGCTGGGAAAGCTAAAAACGTATCGTTTCATCAATTCCCAAGAGACGAAGAGCTCGCGAAATTATGGAATAAAATATTGAAGAGAGGCAAACCCTACACAAAATATTCAAAAGTATGCAGCTTACACTTCACGGCTGACGATTATACGATAACAAGCGGCCAAAAAAATAAAGGTAAAATATAAATCTGTATTTAGACGTGTTGTTTAATAGCGGGAAAGTAATTTATTAAAAAATTTGCAAGACAACTGCAATTATAAAGAAGCAACTAAGATGTTATAATTTGGCTGGTTACTGTTAATTTAATACACTTTTTACTTTTTCACATTACATTAGTTAAAAGTTATGTCGTTTTGAAATTTTGAGTTTTCTAATAAATATAGTTTTATCAGTTTTAAAATAATAAACATATACATGTATCCACCTTTACTTTGAAATACTAACCCAATGACTGGTTTGTACTGAATTACCATTGGCAGACACCGGACAAACCCCTAATCCTCTGGGGTCCCATAACAATGGAATAATTACCAGATACAATCTAAAACATAGCATATTTACTTCCAGGTCAATGGCGTACATTAAGAAAGGATGCCATACCGTCACAGAATCTACCAACTGATTCTCCGATCGCATTGCAGAGGAGGAATTCTTGGACACCTCCTACTGTAATTGATCCTAAGGTATATTTGTATTATGGTACCATTGAAGGGATATATTTTTGATTTTCGCGAATTTTAAAGCGCATAGTGATGATAGAGCTTATGGTCCCTTGGGAAACCAACATCCACAAAGACCATACTATTAAGGTCAATAAATATTACAAGCTCACTAACGAACTAACTCGAAATAGGTTCGTAGTAGATTTGTACGCGGTAGAGGTTGGAGCGAGAGGTATAACAGTTAAATCTCTCTACAACCTACTAAAAGACTTGGGCTTGTCCAGAACTCACATTAATGCATTCTTTGAACATACATCGAAGGCAGCCCTAGTAGGTTCTTTTCAAATTTGGTTAGGTAGGGAGAGGAGCTTGGACGGTGGAGGTGAGCGTATAACGCGCGTTAGTTAAGGGACCCCTTAAACCTACACCTGGGTCACAAGTCCCAGTCACTGTTGAAGCTCCTCTCACTACAACGATGGACCCGGCACACATATGAATATATTGAATGATGAGAGGTTTCGTCTGTATTAGTTACTGTATTCTTGGTGGGTGTTGTTAAATAATATGATGTCAAGTATAATATAGATCACTTTATTATATTAAGTTCCGTCATTCAGTCTTGCTACTTAGTCCACAAATAACAAATTTTAATACAGTTTTATTAAATACAATATATATTTTGCTAATTTCACATAAAAATTATAACATACAAAGTTTTATATAATCTTGATTGCAGTAGAATTAGACAGTGATCTTTAAATATGCCTTTCTTTTACTGATATAAATACTTACCTGCTTTCTTTAACCACTAGGCCACCACTGACTGTTTTAAATATATTCAAGAAATTTCCCCTAATCTATGTTACGTATATGTTTTTATAGATGCATCAACAGATGGCCCAAGCTATTTATGTGCAGACAATGCTAGCTATGCAAGCTGCTTCCATAACCGGAACAGTCTTAAATGGTGAGACTATACATTTATTTATTTATTTTTTGCTACACACATACATTGTATATATTATACAGTTATACAGAAGAAAAAATAAATAAATTTGTAACAAGGGTGTCCATCTCAGTATAAGCTGTGCTAATACACAGCACTGATTTTCAAATGGCCCCTGAATATTGGGTAAATAAACACAAATGCGTGCACAGAATACTTTGTTATACTAATTCACTTACTTAAGCTGTTCTGGTTTCGTCTTGGAGATAAATTATAGTTTTAATTTTGTAAAACAATAATTCCCCATGTATTTCATGTCTATCATATTCATATAGCTTCAAGCTAAGACATAGCTCAAGAAAGCTACAGGATAGTTATTTCTATGGGAAATGCTTAATTTTTGTAAATCTTCAAATATATTGTCATAATAAAGTATTCTCATTAATAGCAGACTCTAGAAAAAATGACTACTCTATTTTTTCCACAAACTGAAGAAAAATATAAATTTCTTTGAAACCTACTTCAATGTATTGATAAATGTATTATTTATTTACAGAACAACCCTCTCCGACTATGGAAGACGCAGAATCCTCATCAACATTTCACAATCTAACACAATTCGAACAGATATTCACAGAAAATGAGCACACGGAAACACAAGCACAGGACGAAACGCACACAGACACATTCAGATGCGCACAGTGCACGAAATGTTTCAAAGATCCCGATGTTTTCATCCTACACAAACGGACACACACAAACGACACAGAAGACATGCTGAAAGCCAACCCAATATTGGCAGGGCTGCTAAAAAATCAAGCGGATACAACAGATATTAAGAACGTAAAGAGCATAGAAAACCAAATAATGACAGCCCTAGCTGCGAACATGGAGAACTACCTCCGAAATCTATCAACCATCATGACGAATAACAGCGGCATAGAAGATGAGAATTTCGAACATAGAATAGAATCTCAGAACTGTGATAGCAAAGACTTGGAATCATCAGATTCAAATTTAATTATAGACGAAGACGCATGTTAAGTATTTAATTCTACAACGCCAGCGAGACTAGATAAAAACTGTAAACAATTTTAACTATATAAATATGTGAAATTAGGTCAATTTACATAATTTATCACGTTTCATTGGACGATCTATTTTGTTTACTGTACTTAAATATTTGAAATTTTGAGGCTACACAAGTCTATAACAAAAATATAAAAACGACTGATAATTAATTAATTGAAAGTGACTGAATTTTTTAAATTAGAATAATTTACCCACCTTTAGTTTGATACGAGATGTATATTTTTCTATCCTTTTTTTTATTATTATTAATGTTCTCTTATTAGCAAAAGTCTGATATCCACTTTATTGTATAAAATTTATAGTTATACAAAACGGATAGATATATAATTAATTAAAACATAGATTTATTTTTCCATTTAATCTGATTGTGACTCAAGTTGTTTTTAAAGACTGTACCGCATTCGACTTCCCACCGTAGTCTGTAGTTAATTTGTAGTAACATAGTGCCTTAGTATTAGTGTAAATTTTTTATATTAAAAAAAACACATATACATATATATGTATATGTATGTTCCTTAAACCTTGATTCCCTATGAACATACACTTTGATATATTTTTTTTAATAACTTTTACTAAATGTGTTTGTAATTAAATTTTTTTGGACTTACTGTTGTTAAAAAATCCTCTGTGAATTATTGATCTCTTTTTGTAACGATTTAGGCATTTAGTAATAAAAGATACAAGCATGAGAATTTTATTTCCTTTATATATGACTATACATATGTATTATATACAAAACTATGTTGAATAAACCATATGATTATTCAACCACCAAACTATACCAGGAAAGTGAACTTCTAACCGTACGCCAAATATACATTTTAAAAATAGCACTTAAAGTTCATCACAAAACTGTTTCTGCAATGGACTTTATGAATTTACTCAAGCGTCGGGACTATAGGCTCCCCTTGCCCATAATTAAGTCTTCTTTTGCCAGACGCTTCAGTCCTTTCATAGAGTCTTTTATTTATAATAAAGTAGCTAACGCTTGTGACATTAAACATTGCTCCCTAAAACAAGCCAAAACAAAAATTATTTCTTGGCTCTCCTCGTTAACCTATAATACCACCGAAGAACTATTCCTTCACCTGGTATAGCACCTTTTAACTAACATAACTTGTATCATGTGACTTGTAACCTAAACTATGCAATGTATCGAGCGACAACATTAAACATATTTGTAAATCTATCAATTGGTACCCACGACACAGGAATACCTAGTGTGGGTACCACCGGACATTTCTTCGTATCATGTTGTGTTTTTTTGTTAATAAATATTTTTTCATTTTCATTTTCATTTGTGCAAAAAAATCACAAGACATGTGATTGAGCTAAATATGAATTTGTCAAATATTTTATTGTTTGCCGGTAGTGGTAGCAATATATGAAGTCTATTAGCACTACTGCAAGGTAACTTATAGTAAAATATATTTAATTTAACCTGAAATAAAAATATCTTCAATGATAAGCAAGATAATTTGAGTCATTAGTGGCCTAGTGGTTAAAAGTGCCGCCTCATGCATGAGGGCGCGGGTTCGATCCTGGCCCGAGCAAGTACCGATGTGATTTTCCGAGTCAAATGTACTTTCTAAGAGTATTTAGACATCACTGATTAATGCATTCCCAAAGAGGGTTTATGTCAGGCAGGCGGCCGGTAGTAAAAACAATTAAAACAACAGTAAGGCATCTGAGCGGGAATGGGAGGGTGCGACTGATGCCCGTATTGACGTATGGGGGTGCGACGGAGCCGATTCCAACGCCTCCTATAGCACCCCTGTGCTTCGGGCCGGGAACGGCGTGGTAACCCGGCGTCGTCGGAATGATCCTAATTGCCGCGATCGCCCCCATTCTCCGAGGGAGTAAGTCCGGTATTTGCCAGGACCGGCCAGTCGCTGGTGTACCCTGTCGCTGACAGATCCGGGGTACACCGACATAGCGGCCGATGGCTTTCGCAGTGGTTTTAGTGAGTAGGGGGCCTGCCCAGGCCGAGCCTCACTCATCCCTTCCGGCCCCACCAAGGCCAGTTGGACGGCTCGTAAAAAGAGTTTCCCTGCGACATAAAAAAAAGGGGGTCCTTTAAACCTACACCCGGGTTGCAAATCCCAGTCACTGTTGAAGCTCCTCTCACTACAACGATGGACCCGACACACGCATATGAATACATTGAATGATGAGAGGTTTCGTCTCGTGTTGTAAAATTAATTATTTAATATAGATAAGACTATTGACATTTGACGAATCTTTACGGTTTATATAATGGTCTGAAGGACAGATTTATCAATAAATTGGAACCTTGCTAAGTTTAATACGAGTACTGTGTGCTAAAGGCAAACGTATACAGAAGTATTTACTGTAATATTTTGAAATATAGCAAAAAAGATTTTTGTTTTAATATAGTACGGAATCATACACAGGTAAGGTATACATACTTTGGTTACAATAAACATTACGACTTGCTATTTTAAAAACATTTCGTGAGCGATGTTCTGTAACTCGACAGTAAAATTTCACAATAAAATAAACAAAAATGCTTATATCGTGTTCGTAAAACTCGGGGATTCCCCGGATAGAGAGAGAATAGATTTGAAATCTGAATTTTATATAACTCACCCATCTGTCAAATAAAGATTTTTCAACCACATAAAGCGTTTTTAAGCAAGCCGTATACACAAAGTTTCATTTATAAATAACTTAAAAATGAATTTTAATAACACGTAAAACTGTAAACCTTACAAAATGAATTTTCTTTTTAAGAAAACTTTAAATATAATCAATTCTAAAATTAATTCAGAATATAGTTTTACTTATCATAAAATTCGATTATTTCAAATAACTTAATTAATTTATACCATGTTAAGTACAATATTGATTTATTGACAAAGAATATTCTTTAAAATATACAGTCTTTATGTTAGGGAAATCACCTGATGAAGTTGAAATTCTGAAAAATGTCGACAAAGTGCATTTCGTTGTTAGTGTAAATCGGAATACCTTAAACAAGCATTGTGATTTGCAAAAGAAGTTAATGGTAATATCAAAAAATAATAAATTGAATTAAAGTATTTAAATTATTCAAAAGTGTAATAGTTTCGGCTCTGTATCTATAAAGGTAAATTAAATAACTTTGATTTTACTAAAATGAAAATTTAGTCGTTTGTGTGTTATTATACGTAAATATTCTAAAGTGTTATGTATCATATTTCATAACTATTTTTCTGTTGACCAAATTATGGAGCAATTAATGTTTAGAAATTTTGTTTTTAACTATTTTTATAATTTAACAGTAGAAAAAACATTTCTATTACAACTTTTAATATAAATTTATTCATTAAAACTTAAATCTCTGTTATAAGTTGAAAAAGACGATAGACATTAGTGCATTTAACAGTTCTAATCCAATGTAAAATTATTGTTAGTACTAATTTTCCGCCCGCAGCTTCCCCCGCGTGGAGTTCGGTTATATCGACTTTCCAAGAGAACATTTCAAAAGTTTGGAATAAAAACTATCCTATGTTCTTTCTCAAGGTCAACTCCATCTCTGTACCAAATTTCATTAAAATCAGTTCAGTGGTTTAGGCGTGAAAGCGTAAGAGACAGACAGACAGAGTTACTTTCGCATTTATAATGTTAGTAGGGATTTCGTCATTTGTAATGAAATTGTGTAATATTTGCCAATGTCAACGTTTTTATTTATTGGACGAATAATCTTGACTAATTGAAACACGAAGGAGTTTGTGAAATGGAATAAAGTCGTTTATTTAATTATTATTATTATTCTGGATTCTTTTATACGCTAGTGACAATTATATCACATATCATGAAAATAGTATTTATACCTTGAAAATTGTTTTTTCTTTGATCAGTTTTAAAAAAATATAACTTATATTTTTCAAAATGTTAGGGAAACAATAATATTTTTTAATAGAGTTGGCTTGGTTTTCTTCTTTATTTTATTTAAACGCTTCTATAACGTGACTAAAAGTATATTTGAGAACAATTCTTAAGCAGCCGTCTTTAGAAGTAATACTCTCATATTATCATATATATTTATATTTTTATAGGAATATTTTAAATATGTATTCGTTATTACATTTTATTCTCATAAAAAAGTACCTTATATTTATTAATATTACTGGCAATACTTTTGTCTTGACTATGGATTAGTGATTGAATATCGCAATCGATTATATAGTAAAATATCCATTTTGAAAGCACATACATATATTTTCTTTAATTTTAGTTTTTGCATCCCTATTAGAAACGTGAATAAAATAATTTTTATAAGATGGTGAAGGAAAAAATATATTGAATATATACAATTGTCTTCCATTTATAGTATAGTTTATATTGATTTATTTTCATATTAAAAAAAAAGCTGATAAAAAATTTCTGACAGCTTCCAAAGAATTTAATTACTATAAATATTCGTTTACTCTGGTACAGACATTTTTAAATTACGTTACTTTATGCCGCAGCTTAAAAAAGTTATTTGTTTATTTTACATCTGATATAACATAATTCTTTAAATACAAGAATATTATAAATGAAGTAATCGTATCACGGATTATTGTTGCTCATGTTTTCAATATGTTTTAGCAGTTCAATACATTTTCGGCATATGTTATAACACATCGTTACTACATATTTATCGATAAGTCGAATGCAACATCCCTATTCTCTGTTTGTCAATCTCACATGACACCTAGGGTCCTAGGCAAAGTGTGGGTAATGGGGATGCCCCAAAACTATAGTATCAATATTTATCTAATATGTCAATCGTTTGTTGTTTAGTTATATTAAAATAACTATATATGTGCCTTTTAATCGTTACTCAATAACATATTTGAAGAACTATAAAAATATGGCCGAAACTAAAATAACGAAGTTACATAAAGTATCACCTATATTAATAAAGAAGAACGCATTAAAAATAAACACGTCTTGTGGTAACTACGATTTATTGTTACGTTGTGTGAAGAACCCGCCACAGTTGTTGATAAAGGAGGATGAGATATTTCGGTCGACGGGCGACGATTTCCTCAAGGGGAAGTACCCCAACTTGATTCTGGTTAATAAATTAAATGTGCGTAACAACACGAGTCAAACTATTGCCACATACGTCCAGAATTCGGTCAGTGTCAAACTAACATCGGATTCTATAGTTAAAGTTATCGGTCAAACGAACTATGATATCGTTTTCAGTGCTTTATGTTCGATAATAAGTTTAGAAACGAGAGTGCAGGGCATTCTGGCACTGTTATCATCTTGTAAAGTGACTGAAACGACTTCCACAGCTTCTCAAACTGTAGAATCTAGCAGGGATGTGTTTGTGAAGTCGAAAACACAGAGGAATAGACGAAAAAAAGTGAGCACGTACGTTATAACTGATCATTTGATGGAAACTAGCGCGAACGAAGACGTAACTGAGAGGACAGACGTTATCAAGGATTCAGACATCAAAACCGAGTGTCGTAACATAGATAGAACAGTCGAAAACACTGAAAATAATACAGAATTCCCCGAATTAAAGCACATCGTGAACGAAGATAGTAACATATCAGACATTAGTTTAGGTAATTTGTCGTTGAATAGCTGCCATATACCGAGCATAGTGGAAAATACTAATACGCTACTCAACTATATAGAAGACCATACCACCCAAGTAAGTCAGCGGTTAATACATTTAATGGATGGCACGAAGTTACTTCTACCGGGGAATCCCGATAACTTACATTTAGCCACACCGGAGATTTTAAAAGATCTCAGCTCCATACAAAGGGGAAAGTTGATATGGCATCAGGCATTCATAGACTTCAAAATGTGCTTGGAACGAGATGAAGATGATAATTTGTGAGTACTAATGATTTTATAACCATTTTATTATTTTAAAGTTTGTTCAACCCATAATAATACATAAAACTTCTATATATATTTATTTTTATTAAATTTCTTAACTGAATAAACAAAATGTAAATTTTAAATAATCTTGGAATATTTTGTCAGTTATATATAAATGAAAAATTTTGCTGTATCGTTAAAGGAAATATATTTATAGGTGATTACACTAATTTTTTTAAAATTTTTCCTTAATTAATATTATTTGTTAACAACATACATGGAAAATATGTGATTTAGCTAATTGAACTTAAATGGAAAAGTTTCCAATGAAATTAAAATTAGTTTGTTTACTTACAATATATATGTATATGTATGTATATAAATCATTCCAGTGTCTTTTGAAGTAAACTTGTAATATAAGAATAATTTTCTAATATATTGTCCTACTTTTTATAACAATCTGTAAACAAAATTTCATCATAATGGGCTCAGTACTAAATGATATATTACATATTTTTATATAAAATATTGTCTTTATAAGCTTGTTAGTTTATTCTGCTAGTTCTGAATTTAATGTACTTCTTAACATCCTAACTACCCAATGAGCAAGTTTCATTAAAATCTGCTCAGCCATTTTGATACAATAGTGCATTATAATTGAAAAATCACTATATTTCATATTTTCCACTCCATACTAAAATCACATTACAGATGAAAACAAAATAAAATGACATAATAATTATATTGTGATTTGTAAATTAACTTATCTGTCATATATGAGGTCACCCATTATCCTATTACAATGTGTGTTAGTGGGTAATATTTGATTACAAGTTACATAACAATTTTAGAAGTCAGTGGTGGCCTAGTGGTTAAAAGGTCCGCCTCACATGCACGAGGGCGCCGGTTCGATCCTGGCCCTAGCAAGTACCAATATGATTTTGCCAAGTCATATGTACTTTATAAGAGTATTTAGACATCACTGATTAATGCATTATAGGCTGGTTATAAAAGCAATTAGCCAATACTATTCACAACATGCAAGGCAGGCCCTGGTTAAAGCTGGGAAATTGCCAGGTAGAAGTTACATAGCCTTTTTCTTGTACGCAGACCTCTTCATTGGGCTGTTCTAAACGATGATTTGGATCTATTGAGACGACAGTGCGTCGTTCTGAGAGCTCACCAGCACTCTCTGGACATACCAGCTGGGAATATGGTAAGTGCTTAGACTAGCGGAGGCGGGAGCGGGAGCGATTTGTACTAGTAGCGATTATATGAAAAATATATATATATTTTTAATTTTTGTCTCGAAATTGTCATATTTAAATTTTTTGTGAGTCCAAATTTAAAATGAAAGTACGTTTTTCACATACATATATAAAGCATTTATATTTTCACGGGCACAAGAGACTTTCATCTGGTCTTTGTAATCACAATTGCTGTAAAGGAACTGAAACATTGAGATTATGTAGATGTAAAATAGATATATGTATATATATATATGTATATATATATATGTATATATATATATGTATATATATATATATATATATATATATATATATATATGTATATATATACACGTTTTATTTTGCTATGTATTTTATAAGAGTTATATGGTTCACGTTTTGAATTTTTTTATAAAGAGAAGGAATTGATTGTTGGTTAAATATTACCTCCGACAGATCGGGTCGATCGATCAGGATTTGAATGGGTAAATGGATAAGAATGGATAAATGGATTTGAATGGGTAAAAGGAAAAGTTAAGTTATTACTGTGATATTTTTTCTATCTTATTTTTTGTCGCACTTTTAGTGATAAATATTTAAATAAAGCTTACTTTGTGACAATCGTCTTGTTTTTTTATTAACTTGAACAGATTAATAGTCTTTGTAATATTTTTGAGATCATAGATATTAAATAAGAATGTTTGAAAGACATTTTTATCTGAAATATTTTTTTACATTTAATTTATGTTTGATAAAATGTAAATTATAAATTGATAAATATTATTTTAATAACAATAGTATAACTGATAAAAATATGTAATGATAAAGCAATTATCAGTTATTTTAAAACGCATATCAAAAACCAATTAAATATAAGCATTGCTAAAATATTATTTTGTAAACATTATCCTTGCTATAGAATGAAAAAAAAAAATTACTTTTCTACCTAAAAAATAGTTTTTTGGTTTACAAAACTTAAGTAGATATCTTTTGGCACATGCTGTTCTGTTTAGAAAATAAATTTATATATTCCATTTCAATAGAAATTGTCAATTTTGTAAACAAAGCAACTGACCACGATTACTCCGTTCTTACGTACATTGAATATCAGTCCTGATAATAATTACATCTCAATGAACCCACCACTGTTTTTAACAATCTTTTCATTATTAAACAATTGTGTTTATTTTATAAAATTATTTTGAACACGAAAATTTATTGGATTTGTCAAATTAACACGACCATTTTTTACTCGTCAAAGTCTTTTTGTATTTGAAAAATGGTGGTAGGTGACGATGACTCAAGTCTTAGGTGTAGGTTATAAGTTTTAATATGTCATTCTTATTATAATATACATATATAAGTTTCGCAGTTTTCCTGGAAACTTTTTGCCACCATTCGTTCCTTCGATCGTATTAACATATATCGTAGTGGGTAGTCCTTAAATTTATTTTGATACCGTAATAGTTTCTTATACTAAGGTTTTAAGTATAAAACTGCATTATGTACATAGACAGCCCTCCAAATGGCTTTAGCCGATTCGTCACACGAATGCACCGAGCTGCTTCTTCGCCACGGTGCAGATGTTCTGCTGACTAATGATGAAGCGAAAACAGCGCTTCATTTAGCCGCTGAGAGGGATGAACAGCATACGGCTGTAGTACTGGAACATTGCAGGAGTAGAGCCAGGTTAGTGGACATATAGTATATACACCAGAGATTTAAACATATTGTGTCTCCTGCACACTTGGTGGACTTATCAAAATAATGCGATATCGATAGCTCCTATGTATATGCCAATGTGGAAATGTCATTTGTTCAGTAGAGACGTTGTAAGTTTGATATCAATGTATTGTACATACAACTGATGCTTTTGATACTTTGTATACCAACTATGACATACATGTACGACATTAAGATTGATACACTCTTATGTAACCTAATAGTTTTTTATATAATGTATATATGCCCTATTACTTATATAAAAATGTAGTCTTGCCATCAACAAATACGCATATTTTAATGGTTATTGTAAAATACAGTGTTATGAAGTGTTAAAACAAAATAATAAAATGCCTAAATTATTACATTGGCCCTTATAAATAGGACCCATTGATATTCTTACTACAAGTCTTAACTAAAAACGGACAGTTGGACGTATTTAAACATTACTTTATCACGTGAATCTTTCGACTAATCTGTGCGTAGTAAAGACACTTTAAACATACACACAATATATTAAAATAATTTCCAGGTTAATATTAAAACAACACGAAGTTCTGTGGGAAGATGACTTCGATGACAAGACAGATGAACAACTAGCGGAATACCTCGTGAACAAAATGAATGTCATGTGTGACGAACAAGGTATATATACAGGGTGTCCCGAAATGAACACGTCCCAGTGACACATTACTTAGATGAGCTCGAGATCTTCAGAAAATCACAATTAGACTACACTAAAAATATCGCAATTATTTGTCAAATCTTTCATTCTCAAACTGTCTATTGACAATCATAAAATACCGCCTTATTGTACAACATAATTAATATTTTATATATATTTCATGTTTATTGTTAAATTTCTATGCTATTGTGGTGTACAATAAAGTATATATTATTATTATAAAATATGCCTGAATAAAAAAATACGACCGGTGGACGAAATATCGATTTAAAAAAAATCGTGGTGTTGATAATATCGCCTCTTACTTATAAAGTGTTAAAATAATACCAGCATTTTCTTATTACATTAAGTTAGACCTGCCTATGTCTCGAAAACCGTTATATTTTTACTTAGGTCAAATTGTGATTTTCTGATAGATCTCGAGCTCATCTAAGTAATGTGTCACTGGGACGTGTTCATTTCGGGACACCCTGTATATAACACAGACATACACACGAATATTTCATTATATTGTATATAAATACATCGTTTATATATGTAAATATTAACTAATTATTGGTTTGAAGTTGCTAAACCTTGTTATATTATAATTAATTTATATTTCTTAGGTTACACCCCACTCATGCTAGCCAGTAAGGCAGGCAAACACGCGTGCGTTAATCTTCTAGCGCGGTCGGCGCCTTATACCATCAATATGGGCATGCCGACTTGTGGGAACACAGCTTTATATTTGGCTGTCACTGAAGCCTGCGGGGAAGCGATGAGTGAGAACATAGCCTTATATATAACTAGCTGCGCCCCGCGGTGTTACCGGAATCCCGGGATGTAAAGTAGCCTATGTGTCATTCCTGGAAATCAGCTTCCTGTATAGAAAATTTTATCAAAATCGCTTCAGCCGTTTGAGCTTGAAGAAGTAACAAACATACACACACTCACAAACTTTCGCAATTATAATATTAGTAGGATAAATTAAATTAAAAGTAGGCTAAGTTACTAGTTATTAATAGTGGAAGTGTTGAAGTAAATATAAGATTACACGGAACACACAGACAGACAGACAGAAAATTGTGCGTGGATACCCTCCAAGAATAAGTGAAACTTCGTATTGTTGGAAAGAAAACAGGAAGGAGTAGACATTTTTAAGAAATTTGTAATATTTCTTTAACACAAACTTCATTAACATTACTATAAGTCACAATTTATTGCCCACATTCCCTCGTTCTGTTTCTTTTTACCCCCCATCCGGGAGCGTTAAACGTTTAACGCAACCTTGATGGAAGTGGCATAAGAGGTTTCACTTCAATAAAAACGCGTAGTATATATTACTTTTATTAATATGAATAATCGAGAAAGTAAGATATTAATTTCCACTAAGCGATTAAACTTGTTTTTTAATGTATATGTTTTTCTTTATTCATACTAACTTTATGCTTACGTCAAATCGTTTAAATTAGCGTAAAAAAAATAATATAATTGTGAAAAAAGCTTTGGTGCTTTAAGACTTATTGGAACGATTTTTTTCACGTTTTCGTACATTATTTTCTGGTTTTATAAAATACTAGCTTTCCGCCCGCAGCTTCGCCCGCGTGGAGTTCGATTATATCGCGTTTCCAAGAGAACTTTTCAAAAGTTTGGGATAAAAACTATCCTATGTTCTTTCTAAAGGTCAACTCTATCTCTGTACCAAATTTCATTAAAATCAGTTCAGTGGTTTAGGCGTGAAAGAGTAACAGACAGACAGACAGATAGACAGACAGAGTTTCTTTCGCATTTATAATATTAGTAGAGATTTTACACATTTCAGTATGATATTATACGATATAAGCGTGTTTTTTTGGACTGTATTAAATATATAATTTCATATATTTATTTTCAGACAGCGACAACAAATCTAAGATAAACGAGAATTTCATGAAGACCATAGAATTTTTGGTCACGAACGGCGCTGATCCGTCAATAGTGAATAGTTACGGCAGTAGTGTCTCTGACCTCCTAAATGAATACAATTACCACGAACTATCAATGTTGATAGCTAATAAAATGACATCCATCAAATATTTCGGCGGAAGAATGTTAGAAGATTTTAGCTCATACATGCTACTAAAGAACAAATGCGGTGGTTGCGATATAAAACACGTAAGGGAACCATCTAAAGTGTACAAAAAATCAGAAAAAATACAACCCAAAAAGACAATGGACTGTGAAAACGTAAATAATGATCAAAAACAAGTATCAAATGCCAACATTGTAGCAAATTCTAATCAAGACAATGAATACATAAAATTTGATAGACCGAAACCGATAAAATCTAACACCAGAATAGATATGACAGACAGAGAAGTATTGGAACCGAGGAAAAGAGCTAAAACTACAATTTACAAGACATTACCCGTTGTCAAAATAGTCTCATTTCAAAACAACACCGACAAAAGATTTTTGGTCATAAAAGATAGTGCAAAAAGTAATATTGTTGTCAATAAACAGTACTCTCCAATAAAAATACTACCGAAAACCAACAAACAAATCAAAATCTGTCCGGCCAAAAGAAATATACAACAATACAGTAACATACCAAGCAAGAGAAGCAAGAACACAGAGGGAAACAAAACTTAATGAGGGATTTGATTTTGGCAAGAAATATATAGATTTATATAAGAAAAGTATTAGTTAATTATGATTTTGTTTAATTATATATACTACACTATAATTTTTTTTTATATTTGTATTAATGAAACAAATCACTTAAAAAGTTGCATATAATATAAAACTTTAATTTTGAAGTGTACATTCGACTTTTTACGAATAAATGACACTTATGTTTTATTTGATAACATTAATTGGCTGATAAATAGTAAAAAAATGTTTTATTAATACTCATATAAAAAAAAATCAGTAATGGAATGGTGGGCACAGCTTGTGAAGAGTAACTTATATTTTTTTTTTGGGTAGTTTTATTTGTAAAATGAAATGTTTTGCAAAACTTGCAAAATGAAATTTGTGTAAAATATCGTGTTTCATTATGTAAAAGTTTAATGTACTTTTAGTAACGAAATGACATGATTTTTTATTAATTTTTTTTGTCAACTTTTTCATGATTTAACACAATTTTTTTTGTTCATGCTTTATAATGTGAGAATTGTTTGAGTTCATGTTCAGTTATTTCAAAATATATGTTTTAAAGATATTGGAATTATTGTTTTATTTTTTTATAGAAAAACTAAATTGTATATTGAATCATATTAATGTGTAAATTGGACCATATTTTAAATGAACACAGTTCCCAAAATAAAAATGTGAAGATGAGCTCTGAGCGTAGATATTTTTTTAATTTTTAGAAAAGACATTGAATAATCTCAGAATATCTGTCTTTACGGTTGTTAAATAAAATTAATAGTTAAAGTGAACCCAATTTTGTTATTTATTACTAAGCTAGATAAATAGTGGAATTTTGTTTAACCTATTTAACTTAAATTTCTGGACAGGCAATACACAAGTGTGGGTGTAAATAAATTGAGAAGCAATGATTAAAATTACACACATATAAAACTCACTTCTGAAATCTCAAGATAGGCGAAAAAGTAAAAGCTAAGACAAGCTTTCTTAATTACTGGCTTTAAAGTCAGTTGTAATTTGTAACTAAATTCATATTATAGTCTAGTAAGAATTTTTTAACCATTTTTTCATTTTCAACTTCGAATAATAAGTTTGAAATCACCAAGCCGTCTTGAGCAAGCATGCTTTAAATTTCTCTATGTGAGAAGAGGCCTTTGCTCACTTATATGGTGACGATAAAATAATGATAACATAAAATTATATCTATTCCAAAGAAATAAATTTTATTAGTCTTTATCAAAAAAATCCTAGGCTGAAAGTATTTTGTTGTTTCACTTTGAATGTATGTATGTTATCAACTGATGAATCAATTTGTAAGAAACTTTCATGTTATAACTATGGACAACAGATGTTATTTTTATTTTAAACTATAAATAATTCTTGTCGTTTCCTTACTATTAGCTCTTTATATTATATTATTCACAACTCTGTGGGATCCAAAGTCACCCCTATAAGGTTTTATTCTATTTCTTAAGATATATATAGTAGCTATATATATATAGTATGGCAAGTACCAATGTAATTTTCCGAGTCATATGTACTTTCTAAGAGTATTTAGACATCACTGACAGACGGTGAAGGAATACATCGTGAGGAAACCTGGACTTTTAATTTCACAATTATAAGTTTGAAATCACCAACCCGTCTTGAGCAAGTTTGATGATTAATGCTCAAACCTTCTCCATGTGAGAAGAGGTCTTTTATTTATTTATTTATTGGATCACCAACAAAATACACACTAAAAACATTCCAGATACATGAATAAAAAATAAGACTAGTGGTATCTTACTTATAGGTGATAACAGCATGCACAAAATAAAAGTTAAGCGACAACAAGTAAAAAAAGCTAATTAAAAACTATTATATAACAACAATAAATTATAATAAAGATAAGAACATAAAACAAAACAAACTCAACAATTTTGAGTATTTATAAATAATATTTTATAAATGATATTTTATTTTTAAAATTTTTCATATTACCGTAAATATCTAGATCTTTGTCTTTGTATCTTTGTTTAGACATATGCTCTGAAAAACTCGTGCGTTTGCTAGTGCGTAGTGACTTGGAAGGTGCAGATATATGTATCCGCGATAATAAGTCTGGACAATCCAAAGTGCCGTTAATTAGTTTATACATGAACATGTTGTCCATCAAGCGTCTTCGATCGGCAAGAGTGTTCATTTTGAAAAAGGCTATTCGATCTTTGTAATTAGGGAGTTTTTTCGCTAAGCCGAATTTGAAGCACTGAGATGACATAAGAAGCGTTTTTGAATGCTTTCCAACCTTTTGACGTAAACATAGTAGTGCGGGTTCCAGACTACGCTGCCATACACAAGTCCACTACGGACAAAAGCGTTGTACAATGTGATCAAAGTCGAAGGATTTTACAGATCACTACAATTGCGTAAAATGAAATCAAAATGGAATCATCGAAATGGAATCAATATGAGCGTGAAAACGTAATTTTTTATCAATGATGATGCCTAGGTCACGAATCTCAGACAATTCTCGTAAACAGACATTTTTAAGTCTATATGTTCTTTGTGGAATGGATTTCAATCTGCTGAAACTGACCAGATGACATTTGCCTTTGCTCAGCACTTGGCTCTGATAGGGTAAAAAAATAAATAAATAAAAATATTACTGTTGTCACGGTTTTTATAAAGGACTATCAAATAAAAATCCCCATTATAACTTACACCTTTATTCATTTATTTACAATTTTAAACATTCTCATACATTAAGTCTAAATAAAGTCCAGAATTTGAGCAAAACTAATGACAACACCGTTACATATAATTTATATAAATATACTTCTCCTACAACATTCATACAAACACAGAACTTTAATTCAATATAATATTTGAGTGATGAAAATATGTCTTGAAAACTAATAACTCGATGTTGCCATTAAAAAATAAAAGTCATAGAACCTCATTTAATATTTAAAAAAAAAACATTTAAACTATTTGTCATCAAAATGTCAATATAATCCGAGTCTTGTCAGCTACTAGAATAATTGGAATATGTATTGAGTTAAATATTTAAATATGACTAATAATTACCGTTCCGATAGTAAAGACTAAGAAATTAGATAAAAAAAGTAAAACCTAAAACCTAAGGACGGATAGAGACTAGTTGGTATTTATACATTTCGTTGATGGCAACCCCGAGCCGATGAGAAAAAAAATGGCTGTCTCCAGTTAATAAAAAACATTGAAATTATATACAAAAATTGTGATAACTTATAAATTTGTTCGAAATCACATCACATAACAGAAGACTTAAAATATTAAGAGGTGGTTAAAATGTTCTTAGATATAAATAGAGAAAACATAATATATATAAATCCCGAAACTTAGTCTAAATATAACCAAATCTTTTTTCTATTAGTGTGACGCCTGTAGTGTGGTAGAATGGTAGTTTTTTTTATTTATTTTCTACTAAATGGTAGTTTTTTTTACAAGTATTACGTTATCTTCTGTTTAATTCGTATCCGTTCTCCTTGTTGCTCGCCGGCGGTGGCTTGGACACCGCGTGACCTTCGAGACGAAGAGTGCTCTGACGATGAGAGGATCTACAAATATATTAAATACATTATATATATAATATATATAATTATATATAAATATATAGTGGTGTTGTTGAGAGTGGCGTACGTCAAATGACTATTACCAAATATTCTAAACCAAATTATACTTATAATCTTAATGTATGACCACCAGTTGCTAAATACCAAATATATACACATTGTAATTTATTTCATGATTAAATCTGTTTTTAGTACACACGTATATGTATGTATCCATATTTAATTTAAGAAAATATATCCTTGAATTACTTATTAACAAACATCGATTTTCATTGATATGCATTTTTTTTTAATAAATATATTATGTTATGTTCTACATATGCACAAAATCGGCTTTTTTTCGTACATTCGATTATCCTAATGCCTATCGACAACAATTAGTCATGTTGATCGAGTTTCTACTAGTTATATTTGGTGTGTGTGTGTGTGTGTGTTGGTGGTGTGTGTGTGTGTGTGTGTGTATATATGTGTGTGTGTTATCATGTTCAGACACCAGGTGTATTCTCACCGTATAAGGCAGGTTACAGCCAGCAGCACAAGTAATGCTCCAAGCGCCGTTAGTCCTCCTCCTAGCGCCGCGCGCGCTATGGGAGGTAATTTGGTGGCCAAACGGAGCATTGATGATACAGACTCGGGCAGTTCGTCTATACCCTGGAATAAAATATATACATCTTTATATAAATAATTCTTCTGTGAGTGTGTGTCACTGAACTTCTCTCAAACGACTGGACTAATTTTTTTGTGTGTGTTCAAGGGGATCTGGGAATGGTTTAGATTAACAATTTTGTCCACTTGATAATGTTTTCTTAATTAATTTTTAATTTATTAGTAGTTGTTGATACAAACGTTTTTGACATTAGATTTGACAACTAACTAATATGTCAATCATTCTGTCGCACTTCAAAACACGTAGATTATGTCTTTAATAGGTTAACTCCAAAAATATAAATAAAAAAGCGTAACAGATATTTCTTGATTATCGGGCGATACGAAGTTCGCCAGGTTTTCTACAATATATGTATATACGTACGTACCTCCTCAAACCAAAGTATAGGGAACACTATGTCGGGGAAGTTAGCGACTTGCTTGATGTCCAGCACTTGGGACACAGCCAGATTGATCTGGATCCTGGCACGAGCTCTCATTGCTGTACCCATCTCCTGGAACACACAAACATACATACACCATCATAACTACCTTGAAATTTCCCAGCTTTAGCCAGGGTCTGCCTTACATGTAGTGAATAGTTTTGGCTAATTGTTTTTACCGACCGGCCGCCCTGACATCAACCCTCTTTGAGAATGACATTAATCAATAATGTCAAAATACTCTTAGAAAGTACATATGACTTAGAAAAATCACATTGGTACTTGCTAGGATCGAACCCGGACCCTCGTGTATGAGAGGCGGGCCTTTTAACCACTAGGACACCACTAACTAATCTGTGCCGTACTAATTATAACTACTAGAATACTTACAATTATTTTTACGACTGATTATAATTAATAATAAAACTTTGTTATGTTGTGTAGCAACATTTAAGTATCCTACTAATATTATAATTGCGAATGTTTGTGTGTGTGTATGTGTATGTTTGTTACTTCTTCACGCTCAAACGGCTGAACCGATTTGAATAAACTTTTGTATACAGGAAGCTGACGTCCAGGAATAACACATAGGCTACTTTACATCCCGGAAATCCGCGGGTAACACCGCGGGGCGCAGCTAGTTGATCATAATACTGAACCATTGTTATATTGTAATGGCGACATTTAAGTTCAATGTAAAATAACTGATTTCAGCCATTTTGTGAAAGGAAGTAACGCTATATATTAAGAATCAAGTCTGAAACTGTATATATATATACATATATATATCTTACCGGCTGTATATCTATATATAGTCTATGTTTCTCGGCATCCGGGGGGGAAATCCCCTCGACAGCTTCACGGAAACTTTCATCAGCCAAGTAGAAGTGAGGGAACGACAGCATGATGGGAGAATCTGAAATCATAACAATTATAAACTGGCAATATGTCTCAGATTGTCAATGGAGATATAATTTAGAATTTTATTTCATATTTAACTGAAAAATAATATCAAATTCAATGAACTTTATTATAAAATCTACCCTCATTTTTTAATTAAAAATTAAAACATTATTAAATATCTCGACTTTACTCTGACTTCTTATACTGTAAATTTCGAACTACCCACAGACTACAGTAAATTACGTTCAAACTGTAAGTATCATCGTTACCGTATTGACACAGGGACACGTTGAACAGTCCGTTTGGCGCGCACGGCGGCCCGGAGGGACAGTAGCATTTATTGTGCTCGTTGTCTGCAAAGACGTCTTCTGGAGGAGTGAAGCGATATCCAGCCACTCCCGCTGACGATTCGACGTCTTTGAGATACCTAATGTATAGATTTGTCAGTTCTTGGCCATGTAGTATAATTATTTAGTACTAGAAGACCTGGCGAACTTCGTATCGCCCTATAATCAAGAAATATCTATTACTTTTTTTTATTTATATTTTTGGAGTTTACCTATTAAAGCCATAAATCTCCGTGTTTGGAAGTGCGACAGAATGATTGACATATTAGTTAGTTGTCAAATCTAATGTCAAAAAAAACGTTTGTATGGGAAATAGAAAAGGGCTGTTTTTATGGTTTTCCCAGAAATAAATCAATTTTTTTCAGCTTTTATACCTTCCCTGAACCTCCACGAACATTTCAAAACTTTGATAAGATAAATCCGTTCAGCCGTTTTCGAGTTTTAGCGAGACTAAGGAACAGCAATCCATTTTTATATATATAGAAGATTGATTTGGATGAATTTTCTTATTAAGACTTGAATTTTCGATGACTTCGTTCGTTTTGAGAAATGAGTTGTAGGATTGGTGCGATTTTTACATTTTCAATGGATGCATTTAGTTTGGATAAATTCTGTCAATTTTGGCTTGTCGTATTATATCTGAATTCTCTCATATTCAATTTACATTCCACCTTATCGGCAGCGAATCATAACAACGACGCCATCAAAGCGTATATAACAGGTATATTAAATATCAAGTTAACAATATATAACTCGGATTTAACAGTAACAAAGTGACAGACATACATATTGTCATAACACATAAATAAAAAAATTGACGATCGACAACCAATAACTTCGGTTAGATAGTTCAATATTATCCCTAGTACTGGTTCACATAAAACTCAAAACGTACAGTTAATAGTAATAAAAAAAAATACAGATCCCTACTATTATAAATGCGAAAGTAACTCTGTCTGTCTGTTTGTCTGTTGCGTTTTCACGCCTAAACCACTGAACTGATTTTAATGAAATTTGGTACAGAGATAGAGTTGACCTTGAGAAAGAACATAGGATAGTTTTTATCTCAGACTTTTGAAATGTTCTTTTGGAAAAGCGATATAACTGTCCGTAAAAAAAACACGAGAAATGTTGTAGAATGCACGAAACACACTCTTAAAAACATACAAAGATTTACTGTTAGTTATCGCCACTTGCACTAAATATGATTTCCTTACTTAAAGACTGTCCGTATAAAGTTTATTAACGTGAACTCATCCTAAGGTAAGGTATTACCTCGTGTATAAACCGGTCATGATATACAATCTATTGTTTTGATAATAAAAACACAATTATACTTAGATGACGTTTAATGTCTCGTTTGAAACGCATATACATATACTGTTATTTAATTGTTTAACCAACTGTATGATAGAAGAAATGCATTTTTACATCAACGAGCTTAGTATTAGTTTACTTCACACTACAGACGCGGCGTTAACAGTATTCCGTAACTGTAGAAATTCTATTAACCGGACCAATTGTTGTCGACAGGCATTCGGATAATCGAAAATCCGGATAATCGAATGTATGAAGAAAAGATTTTCTGCATATGTAGTACATAATATTATATTATATGTTTATTTAAAAAATAAATTAGAATATGTATTTGGTAATTTGAAATTGGTAATCATGAATTATAATAATAAGTATTATTTGGTTTAGAATATTCGGTAATTGTCATTTTACACAATTCTCAACAACACAACTCTCTTAAGCTTTTACATTCTTTCTTGTCCGGACGTAACGCTACGTATGTTGTGATAATTCTAACGCGTCAAGTATATTAAGACGACTGTGGAATACTGCTCAGGTTTAAAGAAAATATTATAAGTATAGAAATATCTTAGACTTTATACTTTTTGCTGCCATAATTACGATAATCTTATATAAACCGCTTCAACACAAGCTGTATAATTACATTGAACACGTAACATAACATAACAACAAGTTCAATTGAAAAAAACAAAAGAATTAATAGAAATATCTTATATATAAAATTCTCGTGTCACAATGTTCGTTCCCGTACTCCTCCGAAACTTGACCGATTTTGATGAAGTTTTGTGAACATATTGAGTAGCTCTGAGAATATATCCAACATCTATTTTTCACATACTAAGTCATAAGGGTTATTCACCCCTAATTTTCTTTTAAATTTAGGACAAAATTTTGGTTTTTTTATTATGTAGCATTAAAAATATGTACAACCCAAAATTTTTACTCCTTAATCACCAACCTCTATTTTTTATACGGCAAAACATTTGTCGGGTCAGCTAGTAACTATCCTACTAATATTATAATTGCTAAAGTTTGTGGGTGTGAATGTTTGTTACTTCTTCACGCTCAAACGTCTGAAGCGATTTCGATAAAATTTTGCATACATGAAGCTGACGTCCAGGAATAACACATAGGCTACTTTAAAACCCGGAAATTCCGGATAGTATACTATAATACTTAGAATTATTTTATGACCCATTATAATTAATCATTATACCGAACCATTGTTATTTTTGTACCTCTCGCTGAATGATTTCAACAATAGCAAAGTTCTTAGTCAATCTCACTACATAATTAATAATATATTATGTAGTGAGATTCTTTTTTTTCTTTGTATTTAATTGTATCGAATGTTTTTGTTTTATTTTATCTTATGTGTTTTGTTTGATTCCTTAGTATTTTAGTGTTATGCATTCGTTATATATGTGTAAAATATAAAATTGACGACAACTGGTGTTAGGAAAAATTTGAATAAATTTATGTTAACACCGGTAAATGTAAAACAATGTTACATGTATGTACTCTTATTGTAATTAATTCTAATATATAAAATTCTCGTGTCACGGTGTTCGAACTTGAACTCCTCCGCAACGGCTCGAACGATTTTCGTGATCCTTATCGAGGATGCTAACCAGGGGGGAGAATCGGCCAACATCTATTTTTCATCCCCCTAAATGTTAAGGGTAGTCCACCCCTAAATTTTTCTTTTTATTTTTTAGGCAAAATTTTTTGTTTTTATTTTTTTATGACACATCCTACAAAAATACATACAACCCTAAATTTTCACTCCTCTGAGATCAACCCTTATTTTTTATTTGTTAATTAAAAACTTTAATTTTTTGGCAAAATTTTTATTTTATTTTTATTTCTTGATTATAAGGCGGTACGAAGTTCGCCGGGTCAGCTAGTAAATAAATAAATATTTGTAACGAGATCTCACCTTAGAGGTAGAAGGCGGCACATGTCTTTGTCGTAGACAGCTAGAGTGTCATTCCTAGTAATGTGTGGTGGGAATATTGATCCATCTGAACCAGCGATGCTGTTACACTCGTCCGTGGTCCAGTGCGGCAGGCGGTCCCGGTGATTGTAACGCTGTATGATGCCGTACTTGGTAATGTCATCGCCACCAGTGAACATTGTCACTGGGTCGGGAGACGTGCCGTTTTTCTATGGAAATGTCGCACGATTAGGCAGAATTTGGCTAAAGCTGGGAAATTGCCAGGAAGAAGAAGAAGATACATATATAATGATGATTCTGTCGTATAAAAAACTTCATAAACCCTCATCTTTCTTATATTTAGGTTACGATTTTGATACAAGCTGATTTTTTCATTGTTGTTATTTAAAACAACATAATTATACAAAGTCGTTTAGTAGTTTTTAAGGACATTGATAGAAATAGTTTGTAACAAAATATATAACGGAAAATCTATGTTAATATCTAAATTTTGATGAAAAAAATCTATTAATATGAGGTGGAATTACATCTGCGAATTCTAGAATATTAAATTAAATAATTTTCTAAGTACCGTCACCCAAAATAAGTTGTAGTATTCCAATAACTATATATACGAATATTAATTTAAATATCCCTACTAATATTATAAATGCTAAAGTAACTCTGTCTGTCTGTCTGTTACGCTGTCACGCCTAAACCACTGAACTGATTTTAATGAAATTTGGTACAGAGATAGAGTTGACCTCGAGAAAGAACATAGGATAGTTTTTATCCCAGACTTTTGAAAGGTTCTCTTTGAAACGCGATATAACCGAACTCCACGCGGGCGAAGCTGCGGGCGTAAAGCTAGTTACATTTAAATATTTCAATCGTTATCTCAAAGGGTTAATATAGTTGGTATGATTAAATTTTAACGATCGCTTTATTAACAATGCATTAGTTTAAACTGGTTCTCTTAAAGACTTTTTAATAATATTAAAATACACCAAGTACTTATGAACTGGTATCATATTAACGTTCAAGGAAAAATATATTATTTAATACGAGAATGGAAATATACTGCATTATTATATATAAAAACTATTGTGAATAATGAACGAAATATCTAGATTCGAACCGGTGACATTTGAAACATTCAAAATTTTGCAACTGAGCTATCGTGTCCTTATAAAATTTTGTGAATTTATAAAAAAATTTAACAAACAGTATAAAATATACAACAGAATAAGCTTAACGTTGCAGTAATATTTCCTTATATATTTTGGATTATATGTTTCTTTAACTCACCCCATAGAAGAGACCAAATTCTTCGTACGGTAGGTTCTGTTCTTTTGGGACGACGTCCTTGGCTAATTTAAGAAGTGGATCTTCGTATCCCCATAATAGTTGACCGACAGACACTTCCACGAAAGGTTTTATCTTGAGGATATCCATGATGGATGCCATGGCCAGCCTAAGAAACCGGGCCGCGTGTTTCGACTGCGAGGTTGCGCTCTGGAATGTAGATAGATAGATAGATAGATTTATAGATAGATAGATAGATTTATAGATACATAGAAATCGATGTGATTCTTCCTTCATATGTACTTTATAAGAGTATTTAGACACCACTGACTGATGGAGGAAAACATCGTTAAACCTGTACTTGTATTTAAACCATTTATTTTGCTACACACATAAATTACATAGATTATACAGAAGAAAATAATTAAATTTAAAGAATACAGTGTAGGAGCTAGGGCTTCATTTCAGAATAAGCTGTGCTAATTTTCAGATTATAAATTTAAAATTATCAACCCGTCTTGAGCAAGCGTGGTGATTAATGCTCAAACCTTCTCCATGTGAGAAGAGGCTCAGCAGTGGGCTCTGATAGGCTGATGATGATGAACATATAAATAACATTATATGTGAGACAGATTGTATGTCTGTCTGTCACATATACGATAAATATCTGCCAAACAAGAAAGTAAGCAGAACTTGGAATAGATACTAGTTTCGTAAATATAAATTACAAGATAATTAACAAATTATAATTTTAATCACGTTTTGAATAGAATTAGTTTTGTATAAAGTTATATAAGTATCTAAAAGTGGGGATTCTATTAAATATTGAAATATACAGGGTGACTGGTGAATTACTATCGATATTTGAGGACGTGATATTTGACGATCATATATGACAAAATAAAAATTAATATAACATAAATATTAATAAACTTCTAAGTAAAGTTAACCAAAAGTTATGTAATTAATTATGCATCGTGTGAACACCCTACAGATTAGGTATACACTGACACTCACACATACGCATGTCGTGACGTGGTGTTGTATCAACACGTCGCCGTACGCGTCCACACTTGAACACTTGGAACGTGTCAACACTTTACTTATTTATACGGAAATTTTGTCAAAAATTAAGTGCCTATTTTTTTTACATAATTCGAATGAGAATCATGTACCGAGTATGCTCCTTAAATATTGATAGTAATTCACCAGTCACCCTGTATTCTTAATAAAAACGACTGTTTCGCTTCCATTTAATATATTTTTTTCTATAAAAGTAACATACAAGGTTTCCTCATTAATATTTATATATAAATATATATAAAGTATAAAAAAAATACGAACATTCGTATCACTGATGAAGCGTGAGGTATGATACAAGGTCTGAGTAAGATCGACACGACCTTTGTATTTTATTGAGAAACAGGAAATTATTAACATTTATAAGGAAATTATATATTATATAAATTATACATAGATATATACAGAGTATTATACAGGGTGACTGGTGAATTACTATCAATATTTAAGGAGAATACTCGGTACATGATTCTCATTCGAATTATGTACAAAAAATAGGCACTTAATTTTTGTCAAAATTTCCGTATAAATAAATAAAGGGTTGACACGTTCCAAGTGTTCCAAGTGTGGACGCACGCACGCCGCACGCGCCTGTGTGTGTGTGTATACCTAATCTGTAGGGTGTTCACACAATGCGTAATTAATTACATAACTTTTGGTTAACTTTACTCAGAAGTTTATTAATATTTATGTTACATTAATTTTTATTTTGTCATATATGATCGTCAAATATCACGTCCTCAAGTATCGATAGTAATTCACCAGGCACCCTGTATAGTAATATTCAGTTCATCCTATATATAAAATTCTCGTGTCGCGGTGTTAGACAGAGAACGTCTCCGAAACGGCTTGACCGATTCTCATGAAATTTTGTGAGCATATTGAGTAGCTCTAAGAATCGGACATCATCTATTTTTCATACCCCAAAGTCATAATGGTTGTTCACTCTTATATTTTTATTTTTTATAATCCATACAACCCAAAATTTTTACTTTTTATCACCAACTCCTATTATTTATATGGCAAAACAATGTTTGCCGGGTCAGCTAGTATAATTATAATGCTTGAAGAATTACATATATATATGTAGAATATATGTATACATAAACTAGTATTCTGCCAGCGACTTTATTCGACTAATGTATGCTTAGTATATTTTACTGCTTAAAATTAACATACAACTGTCATGTGTTAAGGCAGTGGTGTCCTAGTGGTTAAAAGGCCCGCCTCTCATGCATGAGGAAGCGGGTTCGATCCTGGCCCTGGCAAGTACCAATGTGATTTTTCCGAGTCATTTGTACTTTCTAAGAGTTTTTAGACATCACTGATTAATGCATTCCCAAATAGGGTCAAGCAGGCGGCCGGTCGTAAAAACAATTAGCTAAACTATTCACAACATGTAAGGCAGACCCTGGCCAAAGCTGTGAAATAGCCAGGTATATGGTATAGCCTATGTGTTATTCTGATATGCGAAGTATATTAATTAAAAGTTCCATCAAAACCTGTTGAGTACTTTTTACGAAGAAGAGAACAGACAACACATATTAATTATGTACATTAATATACTGAGGAAGAGTTAAAATATACATACATATATTTAAAATACATATTTTCATATTTGAAGACATAAAATGTATATACATAGTCCAGTAAAGCCGTATAAAGCAAGTATTATACTATAGAGCAATCGAATTCAGATGCTACCTTTTTCGGTACAATTCAAAACCAGTATAGAAGTAACGGTATATGTCAGTTTTACCGTTTTCTATTAGAAGCGTGGGCGCGGTGTTGATGTATTGTATGTTTGTTATTCAATTACGGAATAATGTATAAACCTTTTGAACATATTTTCAGAGTCATAGATGACTTCTGAATTATAAAAACAGTTTTTACTTGCTGGCAAACTTAACCGATCACGCAAGTGGAGGTTATGTTTACGATTATTAGGGCTTTGCTTATATATATATATATATATATATATATATATATATATATATATATATATATATGTACATATGTATATGTGTCAGTTTCTAGTCCTAAAGTTCATTACACTCGCTCGTGAGTGTATCAACAAGTGTCTAATATGTCCATAATATTATTAAAGTCGGGATAGTGGAGATAGTACTATATACTATTGTATGTTTGTCTGTCATACAATATTTTATTAACCATGTTTAATATATTTTGAATAATTTTGACTTTTATATATCCTAAGAATATCTATGAATTTATTATGGATTGTTTAACCAACTGTATAATAGAAGAAATGCTTTTTTACATCAACGAGCTTAGTATTAGTTTACTTCACACTACAGACGCCGCGTTAACAGTATTCCGTTCATGAGTATTCTCAAATATTAACGTGACTATTAATTGTGAGACGAGTAACTCTACGTATGTTGTGATAATTCTAACGCGTCAAGTATATTAAGACGACTGTGGAATACTGCTCAGGTTTAAAGAAAATATTATAAGTATAGAAATTTTAAATACCCCATGGATTCGTCATGGTTATCCTTGGTCCTCATTATGTATTCACGACAGACCCGACGCGCGTGTGTGAATGTACCTTTTAATCCGTGCCTCTGGTATATGTCGGAAACTTTTTGCTCATACTAAGTCCGCACGGTCACTAAATACGTAGCGTCAACAGTTTTCCATACATAAATCTTATCAGTTACTAGCTTGTCCCGCGTGGAGTTCGGTTATATCGCGGTTCCAAGAGAACCTTTCAAAATTTTGGGATAAAAACTATCCTATATTCTTTCTCAAGGTCAACTCTACGTCTGTACCAAAATCAGTTCAGTGGTTTAGGCGTGAAAGCGTAACAGACAGCCAGACAGACAGACAGAGTTACTTTCGCATTTATAATATTAGTAGGGATCACATTATTTTAATAACGTATTATTGGATAACGTGAAACGATTAGTATGTAGTGTTGCGAACTTGTGGTAAGCATATAGCAAATATATATTGAAAATAACTTTAGCATGTTAAGTGCGAAATTTCATCTTGTTAGATTTATGTCTAAATCGAATTTAATGAAAATTTGTATAAAGGTAGATGGAACGATGGAGAATATATATATGTTTTATAATTTCATTACTCAGTCTAGTCTAGGCTTCCAGTCGATTGAACAGGCACTAACTGTCCATTTCCGCTTCGTATATTTTCTATGCGGCTGAGTTTCCAAGAAATGTTAAGTACATGTTAGCGAGGTTGAAACTATGATGGGTTATCACTATAGCTTATCTACCTTTAAGATTTTTTTGTACAAAATAATGATGATTTTTTCGTGACAAAACTTTGATACCGTCAGTTTCTAGTTTGAGTATACAGACACGTATTAAGGGTGTAGGTATTTTTTTTATTTTACTTAAATAATAATTTATTAAATCAATTTTATGTATATTTTATTTGAATATTAAAAAAAAATTGCGTCTACTATACCTAGTTCAATACTAATATAATGGGTACAAAAATATTTTTTTTTATTCTTTAAAGTTTTATAAAAATCAGAAAGTAATTTTTATGATAAATATAATCTTTTAAAAGTTTCATTTATAAGTAAAAAACTAGACATTTGGGTTTAATCTGGAAAATATGTAGTTTACCTGATACTATAACTCCTAAAATTCGTTCCATAAGTAGAAAAAAAATCCAGTCTAGACTAAGACTCGACCATGACTAGACCAAGCGTTAACCAAAACTAGACTAAGATTGGACTGAGAATTCACCTATTATTAAGAGATTAAGTTCATCGAGACTAGACTAAGATTGGATTGAGAATTCACCTATTATTAAGAGATTAAGTTCATCGAGACTAGACTAAGATTGGACTGAGAATTCACCTATTATTAAGAGATTAAGTTCATCGAGACTAGACTAAGATTGGACTGAGAATTCACCTATTATTAAGAGATTAAGTTCATCGAGACTAGACTAAAACTAGACCGAGTCTAGACTGAGACTAGACTAAAAAATTACAAATTAAAGTACAGTGTGTACCGTTCCTTATGTTATAGTATATCTAGTGCAGTGGATGCATTGAAAAACCTCTGACGGCACACTCTATTTAGCTCTGAATTCATTAAAGGTCGAGAAAGTTAAGTTTGATACAGCCGTGTATAGTTCTATTATTGTTGTTTTCTATTATTTTAATTGCAATATTATTTATATACAAATGAAACTAATATTTTTCGGATTATGCTACACTAAAAAACTACATAATCCAGACGTTTCGGTTACTTTTTAGCAATCAATTAGCGATTGTCAATTCACACGTAGTCTTCGTGATCACGCTTGTTGCAAGTTAACGAAGCGTTGGTAGTTTGTAGTTTAAAATAATATAATACGCGTAGTATAATTCGAATAATATTAGTTTCATTTAAATGAATACTCGCGAAAGTTTTTATCTCATTATTAATATATATTTAATTAATTGGATTAATAATAAGAATGATAAAAAAATTAGACAGTTACTTATACGTTGATATTTAATTCAGTTTTAGGCGACCCTTCCTATGTTGAAAATGTATGAAAAAATTAAGTGATAAGTCTTAAGATTGCTCAAAATCTTCTTCTTCTTACTGGCAATTTCCCATTTATAGCCAGGGTCTGCCTTACATGTTGTGAATAGTTTTGGCTAATTGTTTTTACGACCGGCCGCCTACCTGACATCAACGCTCTATGGGAATGTTTTAATTTCTTAAGTTTGCTTAATATATACACACACAATATACTGTTATATACCTATAGCAGAGTCCATAGAAAAATAATGTGTTTTAATTGGAAATATATCTTGATTACAATCTATTCACATTAAGTATGCAAATGTTTGAGGAAAAAATATTGTGTTGGAAGATTCCGATGTAGCAGTCAGAGAATAGGTGGTGTTATTTTGATAATAAACTTATTTGATTACTTAATAATTAGAAATATCACCAGAAATATATATAAAAGAACACTGATGCATCATTTGTCATGAAAGAATTATACGACTTGTTTCTTCTAGAGAAATAATTTTCACAGAAAATACAAGTATTCTTCATATCTATTTTATTATTATTAATCTAATTATTTAGTACAATTAGTACAAGTTCATATCTTCAAACTAAATATTTGCAATTTTCCAGTATTGTTTAAAATTAAAATCCAATAAAAATAATAATATTTTATACGAAAAAAATTAATTTAAGATTTTAATTTAAAAATACACGAGTAGATCCAGGTAGTAAAGTATAACTTATAAGGTAAAGAAGTATTTTGTTCAAGTGAAAGTTTGTTCCACTTTGAAATAGGATCCACAGTTGAATCCTAATATACGCACGAAGCATTGTTTTTTCTACATTTAAGTTTTAACCGACTTTCATGAAAATAGGTTATGATTTTACTATTTTCGCTTGATGACGTCATCCCATATATTTTACCGGCTTTCACGAAAAGTATCATTTTAATTAATTTTGTGTAAATGACGTAACTTTATGATCTTTTAAAATAATTATCTTTAAATTCAGATCTCATAAGATTTTAAAGCCCTTATATATATGTTAATATGTGGGATAACAATTCCATATTATAATCAACTTTATATATAATTAATTTAATATAATAATAATTAAAATATATATGTATATATAACGCGGAAATTTATTTTTATGAAAATATATGACCTTTGTTAAATAAATAAAACATTCTTCCTGGTAGAGTAGTACGCCTTGGATTTGGCCTTTGTTGGTTTCACTTTAGGCTGTTTGGGAACAGTGAAGCGGCGGCTGGATCGATTTTGATGAAATAGTTGTCAAATTACCATCATTACTGGAGAAAAGTATCGCTAGTGTTAGAGCTCCCTTATAACTGGTTGATATAAGTAATATATACATATTATAAGACTGAAGGATGAACAATAGACAAAAAAGTTTACAAAACTATTTTAAATAATGAGACCTAAGACATTCGCGAGTATACATTTAAATGAAACTAATATTTTTCGGATATACTACGCGGTTTATTTTTGTAAAAAACTACATACTCCCGACATACATACTAACTACGCATTTTAAATATATTTTTCTCACAAATAATGTTAAAATTAGGCTTTATTTTGTGAATAAAATTGAAATGAGCAAGTTGATAAATGTATGCATTTATTCTATTCATCCTGTTCACATTGATACGTGAAAACTCGTCAGTAGGTATGAATGTTTGTTGCTCATTCACGTAAAATATACTGAACGGATTGTGATAAAACTTTCACATAATGTAGGTCATGCATCCCAATAGGACATTGTATATAAATCGCCTAAATTACATATATTTTGTGTACACCGTACATATCACAACAGTAATGTACAAAGTACTAACACTGATGATTAGTTATTTCATCCATTATATAAAATCATCATCATCAGCCTATCAGAGCCCACTGCTGAAATTTTTTTCTCAGATGGAGAAGCTCAGAGCATTAATCATCACATTTACTCAAAACGGATTGACGATTTCAAACATATATTGAAATTATAAGTCCATATTTCCTCACGATGTTTTCCTTCAACAATCACTGGTGTCTAAATACTCTTATACAATATATGACTCGGAACAATCACATTGGTACTTGCCCGGGCCAGGATCGAACCCGCGCCTTCATGCACGAGATCTTGCCTTTAACCTCTAGACCACCACGACTTATTAGTTCTTCTACTTGGCAATTTCCCAGCTATAGCCAGGGTCTGCCTTACATGTTGTGAATAGTATTGGCTAATTGTTTTTACGACCGGCCACCTGCATAACATCAACCCTCTTTGGGAATCATCATTAATCAGTGATGTCTAAATACTCTTATACATTATATGACTCTGAACAATCACATTGGTACTTGCCAGGTTTCGAATCCGCGCCCTCATGCACGAGATCTTACCTTTAACCTCTAGACCACCACGATTTTATTAGTTAATACCCATTATATTAAAAGGCTAATCAATGGTATTACTCACCAGCATAGGTATATTTGGCACGACTACCGAATCATCGTCAGGTCCGGAACTTAGTTCAGGCATGAAGGTGTACGTCCTCTTGTAATGGAAGCTCAGGGTGCCGTTCTCATTGTCCGTTATATTGACCTTCTCCCACTCCTCACTGAAAACGATGAATTGATGAATGAATGATGAATTCATAATCATCAGATAGTAAATTCATCATGATGAATTGATGAAATAATGTCACAAGTGGCGTCATATGTGCCTTACTAATTATGTACTATAATCTTTATAATTATTTTTTTGACTGATTAAAGTTAATCGTAATATCGAATCATGTAAGTACCTTTAGTCTTAACTTACTACAAGTTTATAATGAAACTGAACACTTAAAGTTTGATAGTTAAAATACAGGGTGACTGGTGAATTACTATCAATATTTAAGGAGCATACTCGGTACATGATTCTCATTCGAATTATGTAAAAAAAATAGGCACTTAATTTTTGACAAAATTTCCGTATAAATAAGTAAAGTGTTGACACGTTCCAAGTGTTCAAGTGTGGACGCGTGCGGCGACGTGTTGATACAACACCACGTCACGACATGCGTATGTGTGAGTGTCAGTGTATACCTAATCTGTAGGGTGTTCATACGATGCGTAATTAATTACATAACTTTTGGTTATTTTTACTTAGAAGTTTATTAATATTTATGTTATATTAATTTTTATTTTGTCATATATGATCGTCAAATATCACGTCCTCAAATATCGATAGTAATTCACCAGTCACCCTGTATAAACATACAATTATTCTATCACCTATGAGTGTTTATGAATGAAAAATCTTATATATATACAGGGTGACTGGTGAATTACTATCGATATTTGAGGACGTGATATTTGACGATCATATATGACAAAATGAAAATTAATATAACATAAATATTAATAAACTTCTAAGTAAAGTTAACCAAAAGTTATGTAATTAATTACGCATCGTGTGAACACCCTACAGATTAGGTATACACACACACACACACAGACGCGGCGGCGGCGGCGGTGTCCACACTTGGAACACTTGGAACGTGTACACACTTTATTTATTTATACGGAAATTTGGTCAAAAATTAAGTACCTATTTTTTTTACATAATTCGAATGTGAATCATGTACCGAGTATGCTCCTTAAATATTGATAGTAATTCACCAGTCACCCTGTATATATGACTATTATATAACATATGTATTATGTATATTCAATGTATATATGTTTTATATACTTCATAATCCAGTTAAATTTTGTTCAAACTACAATTCGTTTTATAAAACCTTGTATAATTAAGTAATTGTAACTGTCACAGTTATACTAACTGTATAATCTATTTTAACTGTTAAAATTTAAAAACTTACCAATGGTTATTTTAATCTATAGAGTTAAGTTAAATTTAGTATCTGAACAAACGTTCCTTATTCTATGTTAATATGTTTTTTATTAAAATTTTAAAAATTATTGTAAAGTATTGAATAATATTATATTATTAAGTAACACTAATTATTTGTATTGCGAGCAGTGTAACGGTCTGAGCTAGTGCATTTATATATATATATATATATATAAGAAAATCGTGAAATGTTTCTTATTGTAGATAAAACATACCAATATTATGATAAAATTATTTGTTAAAACAAAAAAATGTTATTAAGGTTTTCCATTCACCTAGTATGTATTTAATATTTAATTTAAACATAAATAATTTCATATATAAATAAATAGATATACATACAAAATTCCACATAATTTCTGCCAAACTCATCTATTGTCATGCATGTCAAATGCTGTCGTTTAAAAAATTACGTCTTTCATTTACGATGACATAAAATAAATGTAAACGATAGACTTAGAAGTAAAATTAAATGAAAAATAAATGAAATGTTCAATACTCACGAATAGACGTACGGTCCCAGTTCATCTAGGATTGGTTTGGAGCCGTTGTTTAAGAACTCATCGGCGTTTGTGACGTTGTACACATACACACGGACAAACGGGCGGACGGGAGGCCGCGCCCACCACTCAAAGGTCATCGACCCGGGACGAAGCACCAACTCCTGAACCAAGATAGATGGATCCCATTAGTGTCGATAGATATCAGAGAAAGAGTACACACAAGAAAAGACAATAATACGATAGGTGACGTATCTCTTTGTGCTGGTCATATACGGTCTACCGGAGAGGTCGACCGACTTTTAATTAGCATCCAATTATAGTTTAGTTTAATTACAATGGCAAAAAGGTAAGAATATTTTCTTTATCTATTATCCTCATAAAAAAACTAGATTAGTTGATAATAAATTTATTTACCGTACAATTCATTGGCTTATAATTTTAAAACGCATAAAACATTTTAATCTTATTTGAAATACAACAAAAAAGGGATCTTTTTATAAATCTATCAAGATATATCTTCGTATAAATTTTCTGTACGTCATCAGTTAATACTAAATATTTGTGGGTATTCTCACTGTCATAGTTAATTGTTATTAACAGTGCCATATATTACCAGGCTATGTATTTCATTAAAATCACAGACGTTTAATGATAGTTTTATTTTCATTTCATTGTTTTTTTATCTCAATGTACACCAATTCTAGTGACCGAATTCACATGAAGATTTCATAACATATCATATGAAGATTCTTTGAGATAAATCTCAAATATACAGGGTGACTGGTGAATTACTATCAATATTTAAGGAGCATACTCGGTACATGAAACATGGCAGAGAGGCAGAGTCTGGAAAATATACATGTATAGAATTGATCATATATTTTTTTAAAACATAAAACAAGTATAGTCACTGTAAGCGATGCATAATATACACTTAAATGTCAAGTCAGTATGCTATATATACATATAGTTATAAAATAAAAATAACCATATTTTAACAGTTAAAACGACCTATCTCAAAAACACCATGCTCGTAGTTAAGCATCAGTTAAATCCAAACTTAGTATCATTTATGCAATACTCAGTTGCGGTCAAACCATTACAAAGTGGGTTAAGGCGAACCGCTCGGTTAAGAACTTTCCATTAGAACAATGTAATAAAATAGCTTGTAAGCTATCAATGAATATTAAAATTTACAAAAATATATATTAATTAAAATAAAATGATCTGTTTCTTATAGATATATAGTAGATATAAAATCATTGTGAGTGAAAGCAGTTAAACTTCGTAATATTCAAAAGAACATAAGCTAGAAATATTTTTTTAAGTGAATAGTCATATTATTTCTTGAAGACAAACTTTATAGGTATCTCTCTTTCTATTCCCCCTCTTACGCGTTGAACGTTTAACGCAACCCAGTTGAAAGTTGCATTAAGTTTCATTTAAATAAGAACCCAATACAAAATTACATAATTACAATATTTACATAGCATTGTAAACTGGAAAAAACATTTTAAGTAATATGTTCTATACAAAATGTATTACGAGTAATTAAATTTTAACCGACACCGAATTCGAGGTAAATGTTTTGTCATTACTGTGTCTCTGTTCGTCTCGCCACATTTGATGATACATACTCATACTTTTTTTTGTTATTTTAAGATTCATATTGTTGTGTTGTGTTTACAAAACTATGTTCAAATCAAAATAAATCTTCTTAAGTTAATACCAATTTATACATGAAAAACGCACTATTAATATTAAGTTCAAAACTAGGAAGCCATACTAAAATTACTATGCTTAATACAAGTTTGTCACGTCATACGAAGTGTTTACCGTTTCCTAATCAATAACCTGTGTTAATACTGTAATGTGAGACGTTTTATGAATGAATGAATGATTGAATGAATGAATGAATGAATGAATGAACTTTCGGTAAGTCACTTCGAACATGCGTTAAGCGTAACGTAAGCGTATTTTAAATTCAGACTATTATAGGAGCTATAAAAAGTTTAGAGGCTTTGTTACAGAGAATAATCAATATTTACGCTTCTCAATAAGAAGTAATATAGTTTGCGCCCTCTAAATTTATATAAACCCATCTCTTGTTCTATATGTCAATGTATAACATTTTTATTTGACAAAATAAAAGTAATATTATTTTTCATTGATTTAGCATACGTGAAATTCAATTCATATGAAAATTAATCCTTTTATAAAAAAAAAATATTCTTAAATTTTAAATTAGAGTATAAAACAATAATTATAAAGGAAAAATAATAAAATGTATTAATTATAAAAGATTACTGCAAAACTGTGAGTCATGTCGTAAGGAGACATTATTATCGTGACACAAAAACAATTATATGATTCATAATACTGAGAAAAATAATTTAAACTAGAGGAACAAGTAATATAGTAGAAGATATATATATATATTTTCACTTTCTACTAGTAATTGCTAAACCTATTTTCATAAACTTTGTAATGGTATATTTTGTTTGTATGCTAAATAAATAATCAAACAGAAATTAAATTATATGTATATTTAGAATCTTTATATTCCCGAAAGCACCCGAAGTGACGTTAAAGCGATGACGTTTGGTTTGTTCACTTTTGCACGGGAAAGTATTTGTTGACAAGACTTGTGTGTTTGTAAATTAAAATGCAACTTATTTAATGTATTTTGGTTGAATATAATAATTAGTTTGATATGTTATAAAAAAGTACTGGCTATATAAAACTATATTTTTTATGATTTTGTTAGAATCCTCTATATATATGTATTTTATTTCAACCTGGGACCATCGGTGTGTGAAGCCACGTAACGAACTGAGCCATCGCGTCCCCCTTACATATATAATATATATATGACACACACTATCATTTAAATAATGTAAGCCAGTGAAAGTCATACAACTGTTGCTACACTCACAGACGTTGCTAAATACTCGCTTTAAAACATTCACTCCTAAAGTACGGTCAGCAGAAATAATTAATATATATACATAAAAACATAGTGTGAAAGTGGTGGCCTAGTGGTTAAAGGGTCCGCCTCTCGTTGCCGGGGGTGCGGGTTCAAACCTTGGCGAGTACCAATGTGATTTTTCGGAGTCATATGTACTTTCTGAGATTATTTAGACACCACTGACATACGGTGAAGGAAAACATCGCGAGGAAACCTGGACTTATAGTTTCATAATTATAAGTTTGAAATCACCAACCCGTCTTGAGCAAGCGTGGTGATTAATGCTCAAACCTTCTCCATGTGAGAAAGAGGCCTTTGTTCAGCAGTGGGCTCTGACAAGCTGATGACGATGACATAAAAACATACATATATAATAAAAAAAATTAATAAAAACACGCATAATGTATACAAAATTAACGTAATAAATAAAAAAAATCATTTAGCTCCATTAAAATAAATATAATCACGGAAGTTTTAAAATCCTTGGGTAATAATGTACTTATATTATGTATACTGTTTGAAACTGTAATAGTAAATAAATTAGTATTAAAAATTAATTTTTATATATTTTTTTCTGCTGTCTGTACTTACGTCACAAATGATGTAATAAGCGAGCCTGGTTGTTATTTAATGTAATGAACTGATGGACAAACTTACAAACATCTTATATATATATATATATATATATATATATATATATATATATATATATATATATATATATATATATATATATATATGTATATGTATATTAGATTATCGGCCGGGATTCGAACCCGGGATACTCAATGTCAATACCCGCCAATTTACGACAAAATAAATTTTTCATTACTTACATACATGTATATGTTTTTTAATATATTTTAATTTATATTATAGTTATTCTTATGAATAAAAACGAGTTATTACGCAATAAAAGCGAACACGTAACTTTTTTATATTAATGTAGGGACAGCATATACGAATTAACATATATGTATATATATATATATATATTGTAGAGATGTTATGTACATACAACTTTATATTGAAGTTATTTTATCAAAAGTTTCAAACATAAAAAACTATCAGACAAAGATACTCATATTAATTAAATCATCAAAGAAGGTTGATGTCAGACAGGCGGCCGGTCGTAAAAACAAATAGCCAAAACTATTCACAACATGTTAGGCAGACCCTGGTTATAGCTGAGAAATTGCCAGGTAGAAGAAAGAATACTCAATAAACTAAATCATGAATTATGCTCAGTTATTCCATTCTATTTTTATTACAAAATTTTCGACATCACTTTTTCTTCACATTTTTAACTATATAACCCTACAATAGTTTAGCATAAATAATGTAACGTTCCCAAATTAAAAGACATACATACATATGAATATTATTGTAGTAAAAGAACATTTATTTCGCTGACCGTACGTAAACGAGTGTTTCTGTGACCACTTTTACCAAAATCTTCGTTATGTCACGTGACACACTTTTGCATTTTCCACATCCGCGATTCTCTGGAATTACTATATTATATATGTATATATACACATATACATATATATATATACATATATATATATACATATATATATATATATATATATATATATATATATATATATATATATATATATATATATATATATACATGTATGTATGTATGTTTATATTTCATTGTATTCGAATAATCTAATAGTATTCCCAAACCTATATATCAGTACATAATAAAAATAATATGTAGATACATTTTCACTGGTATTTTAATAAGACTAAGCTATGTACTTTTATCCAATACGGTTTAGTATTTTCATTAGCTGACAGACGTACACACATTATATCAACGAATTTTGTTATTATAAACTGTTACTTGAGCCTTGATATTTCTTTGTCATTATCGTACGATCATAATCATTGCAATACAAGTTATTTTATTTAAGAACACATGTAGACAGATTATTTGATTAATGAAAATGAATTGGTATGATGATGAAGATATTTAAGAAGGATTTTGTTGAGAATAATATGGATGAAGCATCAAGTGATAAGCTAGAAAATTGTCAAATCGTTGACGGTATGATAAATAACAAGACTAATTGATAAACACTTTCATTTCGTCTTCATGATCACGGTTGCTGTAAAGTAACCGAAACGTCGAGATCATGTAGATATAGAATAAGAAACACGTAGTATACGAAAATAATAGTTAAATTTAAAGGAAACACAGGCGAAAGTCTTAGATATCGGTTAGGTAGAGAGATGTGTTTGGACGGTGGAGGTGAGCGTTTAACGCGTTAGATAGGCTCCCTTAAACCTACACCTGGGTCACAAGTCACAGTCACTGTTGAAGCTCCTCTCACTACAACGATGGACCCGACACACGCATATGAATACATGGAATGATGAGAGGTTTCGTCTCTCTATATATATTAAACCTACACCTGGGTCACAAGTCACAGTCACTGTTGAAGCTCCTCTCACTACAACGATGGACCCGACACACGCATATGAATACATTGAATGATGAGAGGTTTCGTCTCTCTATATATATTAAACCTACACCTGGGTCACAAGTCCCAGTCACTGTTGAAGCTCCTCTCACTACAACGATGGACCCGACACACGCATATGAATACATTGAATGATGAGAGGTTTCGTCTCTCTATATATATTAAACCTACACCTGGGTCACAAGTCCCAGTCACTGTTGAAGCTCCTCTCACTACAACGATGGACTCGACACACGCATATGAATACATTGAATGATGAGAGGTTTCGTCTCTCTATATATATTAAACCTACACCTGGGTCACAAGTCCCAGTCACTGTTGAAGCTCCTCTCACTACAACGATGGACCCGACACACGCATATGAATACATTGAATGATGAGAGGTTCCGTCTCTCTATATATATTAAACTTACACCTGGGTCACAAGTCACAGTCACTGTTGAAGCTCCTCTCACTACAACGATGGACTCGACACACGCATATGAATACATTGAATGATGAGAGGTTTCGTCTCTCTATATATATTAAACCTACACCTGGGTCACAAGTCCCAGTCACTGTTGAAGCTCCTCTCACTACAACGATGGACCCGACACACGCATTTGAATACATGGAATGATGAGAAGTTTCACCTCATATTTGACGGATTATCAATATGAAAATTTTCAAATTATTTCCAGCATATAAATAAGTAACATATTATTTAGACTAAAACTCACATGATCTATCAACATTCGTATCCAGCTGCTGAAGAATATTGCGCAGATGATGCCCAGGAGTAGCAGCACTACAGCAGAAGCCAACACAAACCCTGTCAATAAAAAACATACGACATTATATTAAAAATAATATTCTATTTTTCAACCATTTGTTGAGATTACGTTGCTTTGTTATATATATATATATATATATATATATATATATATATATATATATATATATATATATATATATATATATATATATATATATAATTAATAACATAACTTTTGGTTAACTTTACTTAGAAGTTTATTAATATTTATGTTATATTAATTTTTATTCTGTCATATATGATCGTCAAATATCACGTCCTCAAATATCGATAGTAATTCACCAGTCACCCTGTATATATATATATATCCATACATATATAATACACGTAGAAAAATAAATTTAAATTTATGTTATTGTAAACATGGAGTGAGAGTGTGAGAAATGTTTCTTATGATTTTATTACAATGCATGCTGAGTTAGCCTATAATTGTAGTGTACTTTGTAGCTACATATTGTAAAACTTTTAATTTTAAAAAATTTAGATAATTGTACATTACGTTGGCTTTCTATGAAATAAATAAATATCATATAACATAGTAGAACACTATCGTCGGCGATAGTGCAAATACGCGTAACTACCATTAGAAGCAGATTATCAAAAGAAAGTTTGAGCTGAAATATTTTCTAAATTAACGACTTTTAAGGTAATTTTTCACAATAAGCGATAAATTAGACACAAAATAATTACTAATTGTGAAAAAATACCTTAAAAATCGTTAATATAGAAAATATTTCAGCTTAAACTTTCTCCTGAAAATCTGCTTCATGGCAGTCTTGGTCTTTTCATATCCATTATGGGCGTTGTGACGATTGGAACTCATAAATAAAATCAAACTTGTATTTTACAATATATTATAACTAGATTTCTTTACAATTGTATCTAAAATAACATTCTAATAATAAGATGAAAATGGATTATGAGCCAATAGGTTAGACTTGTGCAATTCGTTTGGCGGTTGTATAGCATTCTGGCCGTTCCTACATTCAGTGATAATCACTACCCTATTCAGCATTAGCCGCTCATAATTTCTATGAAACAAATTAACTGAAAAACCTATTAAGTATATTATTGGAAAATCCAAAATCATATATAGTAAACTACAATAGTAATGTTTTTTTTAGTTAGTGGTGGCCTAGCGGTTAAAAGGCCCGCCTCTCATGTACGAGGACGCGGGTTCGATCCTGGCCCGGGTAGGTACCAATGTGATTGTTCTGAGTCATATGTACTTTCTAAGAGTATTTAGACATCACTGATTAATGCATTCCCAAAGAGGTTTGATGTTTTTCAGGCGGCCGGTCGTAAAAAACAATTAGCCAAAACTATTCACAACATGTAAGGCAGACCCTGGCTATAGCTGGGAAATTGCCAGGTAGAAGAAGAAGAATAGCGATATTTTAAAATGTATTTATAGTTATTAATAATAATACGTGAAAATCCGTGTTCAATTTCAATTAATTTGGCCAATTTTAATTTTTACGATAATTAAAAAATTTAATTGTTAATAATGTAATGAAAATAATATCAGAATAAAAAATAGAATTACAAAAATAGCTTGAGCAATAACAGTGTTTTTCGCAACCGCATAGAAATATTTAAGCCATAATTATGTAAAAACGAGATCTACAATATTGTAAAGACCTTGGTCGTTACGCGATACCAGACTATAAAATGTTTGCAATTCCTTAGATATTTTGTAACAGACACACAGATTAACATTTAAAATATTGTTGAAAAAGAATATATAGTCTTTTTGGCGATTTTACAACTAAACAATGTATTATTGTGGTCGTGGTGGCATAGTGGTTAAATGGCCACCTCTCGTGCATGAGGGCACGGGTTTGATACCTAGCAAGTATCAATGTGATTGTTCCCAGTCATATTTATTTTCTAGAGTATTTAGACACCACTGACAGACGAAGAAGGAAAAGATCGTGAGGAAACTTGAATTTATAATATCAAATTATAAGTTTGAAATCACCAATCCGTCTTGAGCAAGCGTGGTGATTAATGCTCAAACCTTCTCCATGTGAGAAGAGGCTATGCTCAGCAGTGGGCTTTGATAGGCTGATGATCAATGTTTTTGTTGGTTAACCAGGATATATCTTAAGTATACTTCATCGTATCATTAAAATGAACTTAATAATAATTGGCATGTATGTTTGTATGTGTTACCAAATAATACTGAAATACTTCTAACACGATAAAAAATATATAACATATATTTTCATTTCAGGCACATAAATATACAAACGTAGACACGGTATACTATTAGTATGTGTATTTTAAACAAAATACATCGATATTCAAAAAGTATTATTAGTATAGGTATGACAAGTTATTTGAATAAAACGAATTTTATTTAAAGTTGAATGACCTTCAGAGGACTCGGGACGAGTCAAAGATTGTATATTGAACTTGCTTTTGTTTAAATTTAAATATTTAAATATTTTAAATATTTAAATTTCCTTAAACCGAGATCAAAAAATCAATTATATTTGACACATACATACATTTAAAAACAAAATTGTCCCGTCACAGATTGTTTGAAATAACAATATAAGTTCATATTTTCCAATCAATTAAAATTAAATTAATTATCCCATTAATTGAAAAAATATAATTATATATATACTAGGTTTTATCCGCGATTAGTTCGTTTCTAGTAATCTAGTTCAGAGAGAGTATCTAGGTGAGGTCAATTTTAATATGATTGTCTAAATCCATCTATTTCATTAGCATAATTTCATCAAAATCGATTTAGTAATTTACTCAATACAGATCGTGGAGTAAAAATATTGGTTACCAAAATAAACATGTGTTAATAGGGATTATTGGAAGTGAATACTTCATGATAATTACAAAAATAATGATTATTACAGTCACATGCAAGTAGTATGCATAGCATGCATTACGAAATCATGCATGCACGACAATATACAACATATTTGCATATGGGCATCCAAGGCGACAGTTCTACGTCCATCTAGTAGCTCTCTTTAGCATAAAAAAGCTATATAAATTTATTTATTTTTTAAGACAAACTTCACTAATATTACTTACAAGTCACAAATGGTTGGCCCGCATGCGTTCGAGCGACACAAATTCCCTCCACTCTGTCCCTTTACTTCCCCTAAGCGTTAAAATTTAACGCAAACATTTTGGAATTCGCATAAGACCTTTTATCATCAGCCTATCAAAGCCTACTGCTGAGCAAGGGCCTCTTCTCACATGGAGTATAGCAAGATAGTATTAATCACCACGCTTATTCAAGGTGGATCGGCGATTAAAACTTATAATTTGATTTTAAGTCCATGTTTCCTCACGATGTTTTCCTCCATCTGTCAGTATTGTCTAAATAATCTTATAAAATATGACTCGGAACAATCACATTGGTACTTGCCAGGTTTCGAACCCGCGCCCTCTTACACGAGAGGCGTATTTATTAAAGTCGACTATATACTGCCTTGATATGTCTGTCCCTGGAGCAAGATCCTCAGAACTCACTACCAATGATGCCAAAGACCGTGCACAGTGGAGTAGTTTGAATATGAAGGCAGACCCTGGCTAAACCTGGGTTAATTGCGAAGAAGACTGTAAGACTATACTAGACTTGTATAGATCAAAATCAAATTGGTAGTAAGTATAAAACGCTCGTTTCCCTGTACCTAAGGCGTGTTGATTCAATTTGTTATTGTTACACAAACATAATTTCAAAACATTCATGTTTGTTTGAGTACATCCGTCTCATTCGAGGGATCGACTTAATGCCATCGATTCCGTAAATATTTTAACTAGCTTGTTTTCCAGGATTCACTTGCATGTAATCGTAACATACGTATTATGTTCCGAGTAAACTGATTAGTTTTCTACAGTATTATTATATATTTATCATTAATTCACAATTATAAATTAATTCATATTATGCATTATATATAAGAATGTCTGCCTTTAAATTTATATACATAAAAATAACCATATTGCTCTATCGAACAGAAAACTTCGAGTATAAATGAAAGAATGTGTAGTAATATTTTGTACTCACTAACTCAGAAGCGATTGCATTAAATTTGTACCTTAAATGGTAACCGGTTTGTGGACACAGCTGATTGCAAAGAGACTAAATACCATGATTTTAGTTAAATTTTATCAATGAATGAAATAGAGGATTATGTACAACAGAGAGAAGAGGGAGAGAGAGATTTAAATTAACTCAAAAATACATTCCGATGTCGCAATTCAATCAAGAACAAAGAAAACAGTGCAACCGCAAAACAGAGCAAAAAAATTTATGTAAAAAAAACATATTACAAATTGTCCGACTTTAAATTTAGAAAGTACTGTTATTCAACTATTATTGCAATTCTATTTCAAAAAATATATACATCTTCAAAAACATTGACCTAGTACGAAGTATTGTCTAATATAAAATGTTGTAAGACAATAGATTTATATGTATAGTATATATTATTCTTCTTCTTCTACCTGGCAATTTCCCAGGTATAGCCAGGGTCTGCCTTACATGTTGTGAATAGTTTTGGCTAATTGTTTTAACAACCGGCCGCCTGCCTGACATCAACCCTCTTTGGGAATGCTTTAATCAGTGACGTCTAAATACTCTTAGAAATTACATATGACTCGGAAAAATCACATTGGTACTTGCCAGGATCGAACCCGCGCCCTCATGTATGAGGCGGGCCTTATAACCACTAGGCCACCACTGAATTAAATATACGAGTATATATTATTATATATATTAATAATTATTAATTAATATAACAAAAGTCATTGTTATAAATTAAAGTAGGTATATAATTATGTTTTGTTCGCGTGTTCAAAGATAGTTTTCTTTGTACAATCTTCTGAACGTCGGATTCAAGAATTGTACACATCAGTTATTTGATAATAAGATAAATAACTACAATTAAACGATTTTATATTAATGAACACGAGTATAGAGAAAATTTAAGTTATTTCTTTCAAATATTATGATAGAA